AATGGAAGAAAAGCTTGATTGCATGAACAAGTTAATCGAGTACTATGACAGTTGGAACCGACTGAAAAGGGCGACTGCATGGATTCTGAAATTTAGAGAACTTTTGTTCAATCTGAAAAACAAAAGAAAAGAGTTTCAAAGTGAAATTAGTCAAACAGAAAAGGATCCAGTGAAGCAGAAGTTGCTTGTGCAAAAAAGCATGGAAAGGTACAGGAGTACCATGGAAAAGAAAGCACTTACCTTGGAACAGCTGACAACGGCAGAAGCAGAAATCATCTGGTACAGCCAAGCCCAATGCTTTCCTGAGGAGATTAATGCGCTCTGCAATAGTAAGTCTGTAAAGAAGAGCAGCCAGCTGCATAAACTTGATCCCATGCTGAAAGATGGCATTCTTAGGGTAGGAGGACGGCTAGCTAAATCTGCCATGCCAGTGGACACAAAATATCCTGTGATACTGTCCAAACATTCAAGAGTTGCATTTCTCATCCTGAGTGACATCCATGAGAGGATCGGTCACTGTGGGCGTAACTATATGTTATCGCAGTTAAGAGAGAAGTTTTGGATCCCACAAGCAGTCTCCACCATCAGAAAGCTCATATCCAAATGCACGGTCTGCAGAAGACTACAAGGACGAGTTGGTGAACAGAAAATGGCACCTCTGCCCGAAGATCGTCTTGTACCAGACAAACCACCATTCACTAATGTTGGAATTGATTACTTCGGCCCATTTGAAGTGAAACGGGGCCGGGGAACGGTCAAAAGATATGGTGTGATGTTCACCTGCCTCACCATCAGGGCAGTGCACATTGAGGTGGCTGATAGTCTGGACACAAGTGCCTGTATCAATGTCCTTCGTCGCTTTGTGAGTAGAAGAGGACAGGTCTCCATAATCCGATCCGACAATGGCACCAATTTTGTTGGTGCCGAGAAGGAATTGAGAGAGGCACTGAAAAACCTGAAACAATCAGAGATTGAGAAGACAATGCAAAAGAAAGGCATCAAGTGGATCTTTAATAGTCCCGCAGCTTCACATGAAGGCGGGACTTGGGAACGGCAGATCCGTTCAGTTCGTAGAATTCTTAGTGCCCTTCTCAAGGAACAGACCCTCACCGACGACAGCCTTCAAACACTTCTTTGTGAGGTTGAAAGCATAATAAATGGCCGACCCATAACTAGTGTGTCAGATGATCCATACGATTTAGATCCTCTGACCCCTAACCACCTGTTGTTGATGAAGGTACAGCCTAACCTGCCACCAGGAATCTTCAACCAGGATGATCTATACGCAAGAAAGCGCTGGAGGCAAGTACAGTATCTTGCGGATCTATTCTGGCGCAGATGGACTCTCGAATACCTCCCCCTCCTCCAAGAACGTCAGAAGTGGACGAGACAGAAAAGGAATTTTGAACCTGGAGATGTGGTGCTAGTAGTAGACAGTTCATCTCCACGCAACTCATGGATCATGGGAAGAATAGTTCAAGTCCTACCTGACTCCAGTGGAACTGTACGTCGTGTCAAGTTGCAAACGAAGAACAGCATCCTGGAGAGATCTGTGCATAAGCTATGCTTATTGCAAGAAGCCATATGAAGAGAAAGAAGATAAAAGGACTCTTTTACTTTAAGATTGTTTATTTGTAGTTTATTAATAGTCTTGATTTGATGGCTCTTAGTTTAAGTTAATTATAATTGAGTAATCTTACAATATACCCAATTAGGGGCCGGATATGTAAGAGCCATAAAGCAGAAAAGATAGAATATGCAATAAATAAGTACAGTTCATAGTTGCAGTTTATATTTTCTTTCATTCTTAGTTCATGTCATTGTGTATTTCATAGTTCTAAGAAAACAGTTATTGATATAAAAAATATTTGATGACTGCCCCTTTAAGTGATGTAACTGAGAACGTGCAGGTGCTGTTTTGGCAGAGCTGCATATGGCATGGGAGCATAAAGTTTTCTTACCGTGCGTCTTCTGATTTTGTAACCCTTTTATTTCTAAGTAAAGACATCAAAACTTTAAGAAATTGTCATGTCGTGCGAGTGAAGAAATTACTGTGTCTGCAGCTCTAAGTGGTATTTGGGAAAATGAAGAAAGATTGCCACTACACAAGCGTTCCCAATAAATTCGGGCTCAGCGATTGATCGATCAATGCGCCTGGAGTTTTTTTTTCTCCCCCTATAAGACAGCCTCTGGTGATCCGGCGCTCATTAGTGGCGAAATGACACATCCCTCAACGCCTCAGCTGCCATCTCTAACAATCAAGTTGGATAGCATCTTTCCGATAGCGGCAGAAGAGGAACTAATTATTTATCATTCGACATTTTATTGAGATATCAAACGCTGAGGTCTGACGGTCGTGATCTCTGTGAGTCTCAGATTGGGCGTTCCTCGACCTTAGAGAATAAAAAGCTTTCAGACTGGCAGATTTAAAATCTTTTCTTTTTCACATTTTGTGATATTATAATACATTATATGATTTTTGAGGCTTTAGGTGAACAAAGTATCGAATAGTGGTGAAGTGAAGGGGGAAAAAAAGCTTTTTAAGGCATAAATTAATTTTACAGACTGACATTACTTCTCTTTCCATTGCTTAGAATACGTCAAGATCAGTCAGATTGGATATTAGCCCTCTATGAACATGAGTTTGAAAGTTTTTCCATGGATTCTCAGGGAAATTAAGAAAAAAAGCAATTATGCTTTGGTCTAAGGTCTGTTATTGTACCTACAGTGTTCATTATTATGCAGGAAGTCAACTTTCCCCTTAGTTTTAAGTCTTTTATGGCATCCAGAGCATGTGAGCGGTGAGGAAGAAATATGGAGGAGCGAAAAATGGTTTTCAATTCAAAGGCTGAAGCGAGGATTTCACTAGTCTAGTAAAATAAAAGGAAAATTACATAGGAAACACTGGGCAACAAGAATGGATTGAGGTGTTACGTTCATCGTGCGATAATTTAACAGCATGCTTATTATTTATTAAATTAAATAATAAGACAATACACGTGTATCGATCACATCATTAAATCAAACACCGTGTGTCCCAGGGTCCTGGCATAATTACATGAAGGGAAATATCAGAAAATGCCTTATTCTGAGCGATTTCGCTGGAGCGGCAGGAAAATTAAGGCTAACGCGGAGCCGTTTTTGAGCAGAGCGTCCTGGCTAAACTGTGAGGGGCGGACCGTACGAGCGGCACTCCGTTCACATGCTCTGAAGGCAACTAGCATGTTGTCTTCTGGTGTTGTCTTATAACTAACTCCATCCATTATCCTATCTACTCTGTCTCGGCTGAAGTAAAGTATCCCCACAGTCCGTTTCAATTTGGGTGTTTTCAAAACAAAAAGAAGGCTTTGTTGGGCTACCTTGAACTCAACGCTATTCCTGCCATTTTGAATTGAAGAAGCTTCCTGGATGGGAAGCGAAACGTCTTCAAACTCGTAAACAAAGTCCAGTGGATTGTTTTTATCTTTTTTTTTGGAATGACTATGACCTGGATGACTGAGAATCTTCAGTGGCAGCATCCTCAGTTTTTTATACTTTCACCACCATGCCTTACCATTAGTATAGTGGGTTTACTTATTGTTGATCCACACAGTTTTCTTCTAAAGGTCTCATCTGACCGTAGGTCCTCCTCCTCTGCTCTGGCTCATCCTAACTTCACCTTCTGACTTTTTTTCAACGATTTTCACCAATGAAGCCCAGCTATGGGGACTCTTTAACTAACGGTGATCCCCTGGACAAATCTACCCTCCTAATGATCCGCAGTGTTTCCATACTCCCTCCAACCTTCAGATATTTAAGCAGATCTTTAAACCAGATGAAATCTTTCTTATGTAAAAAAGGTTGTATTGCTTTCCTTCCACTTTAAAATTAGGCACTGCTCTGAGTCGACCCATCGCATAAAATCCCAATAACCTACATAGAAATGTGGGGTTGTATCATTTATGGGAAACTTCTATGGGTGTGAATCCATTTATAAGACTCTGTAGTTTGGATTTATTTGGTCGGATACGGTATTTTTAATAACCAGTGCGGCTCTCCATGTGTTTGGCTTTTTAACAAGCTGTTTTATATGCACATAATAGACAATGTTCATTTATGTTCTGTTATTTGACCCTCAGCTCTACTGCAGAACGGTAAAACTCTTCCATATGCCCGGGAGTTCTGGCAAATCCATTACATTTTACAGTTCACTACAATCTGATAGCTGAATAGCTCCGTCCGCCTTTTATCCCTCTCTCTTTTTTATCTCTCTCCCCCTTCTACATCCTTTATAGAAGCAGGCTGGAAAATCACCCTCTCCGTTTGTCTTCTCTCTGGATTAAACGTCCGATATGACTCTCCGTCCCCCTCGCTTTCTTTACCGTCTTCCTGGCAGCCGAAGCGCAGCCATTTGCTTCTGTTTTATGGCTGCCGTCACGTCTGAATCGATGTGGGCTGCCTGTGAAAGCATTGCAAGAGAAGCAGGGACGCACAACGGGGGGGTCAGCGGCAGCGGCGACCGGTTGTGTGTCCTTTTTCGTGCAGTTTTAACCAGACAGTGTCAGCCGTCGGTCTGGCGGCATTAAGGAGACAATTACGACTATCTCTCATGATAATCATACAAGTGCTCTTCCCCGTTCTCGCCGCCGTTGCTCAGGCAGGGGCAGCGATGATTGATTTGGGCAATTTGTTCTGCTGATTACAAGCGGCATGGAACCACGGCACTGGCACCTCTTGTGCTACTCTTCACCCAACACACACACAAACACCCTCGCCTCTCGGCTTTATTTCAAGCCCCCTTCTCGCCGGCACTAGTATGAAGAAGGCATATAAAAAGTTGATATATGTTAGACAACACAGCACTCCAAGGTTGAGGCTCTCTCTTTATGGAAGAAGGTGCTATTCAGATTGCCTTCAGGCTATTTTCTCCTCAGCATGTCTCTCTACCTGTGTGTGTGTGTGTGTGTGTTCACTGGTTTTTTTATGAATCTGTACGTCTAACCTGCTGTCTTTCTACCCAGCCCTTTATGCCACAGCCAGCTTTTGGGATGATTCTGGATCTGGTAAAACTGGCCCATATTCTCCCCTCTCTCATATTTTCACACTTCATCTTCGCCCCCACCTCCTCACAACTGCCTCCACCACTACCTTAACCTTTAACGGTCAAACTCCAGTCCACCGCCACCCCCTCCCAACCCTGGGCGATCAGCAGCACACTCACTAACCCTACCCGCCCTGTCAAACACACACAAACTCACAATCCATCACTCAACCTGAAACCGGCACTATTCCAGAAACAAGCGGCGCCACGTGAAGGCAGTGGGGAAATGATGACGGTAAAAAAAGGCTTCTGCTATGGCTCTGACGTCACGTTATCTTTTCTTCTTACAGCTACCATGAGGTTCTCGGGTTTACTGCACCTGGAGCAGGTGGATAACCTGGTCTACACCCCTGAGATGCAGGATCCAAAGTCTGAGCTGTTTGGAGAGACGGCCCGCAGCATAGAGAGCGCTGTAAGTGCTACAGCAGCAGTTTGTTGCTGGGAATTCAGTCCAGTTAGCATGTCTGACTTCTTTGGGGGGGGTGTGCACTCCCTTTTTTTTACTCTTTTTAATCATTTGTTTTGGTTAAACTCCTCTGCTGGCATAAGCAGTTTCCCTGAACGTTCCCTATTTATATGTTCTGTTTGCTTTTAGTCCTTAAACCCTCCTAATGTGGATAAAACCAAAGTAGTGAATAACATATGTGTGTTTCAAGCAATCCAAAACAATTTTTCATCATTTCAGCTTCTTTTTTCTCGATTTTTGTCTTTTTGATGCTAAATGAAAATGAAACGGCTCTCCACCCAGGGCATCATAGCATGGGGGAGTAACAAAACTGGTTACAAAATTATAGCAGAAGGCTTCAGCACTTTTAATTAGTAACAGTGACACACAAGATGTGAGTCATTTGCTATCACTGGGTTAACCTTAGAATAATTAAAGTTAGCATCTGTTTTAAAACCTTCTATTGGCTCCCAACTTACAGCCATTTCTATGTATTTATTTAAATCTGCAGTGCGTTTTTAGATCAAAATCTTAAATACTTAGCTAAGTCCTAAAAAAGGGGATTTATAGGGATTTATTAAATCTATATTCCTTTAGTGAAAAAAAAACAAACAAAAACAAAGCAGCTTTTTCATTAACCCCAAAGGCTTTTGCATCATCTTAGAATAAAAAAAGCCTTTAAGCAGCATCACATAGGCCGACATAATTATGTCTATTAAACCTTTTACTGTATGTTTGCAAAGCGAGATTAAGATTTTTAATTTTCCTTTACGTATTTAATATACGTATATCCTGCAATATTTCGGCTGTATTTTACAATTCAATACCAACTACGAGTTTGGCTTCTATTTCAGAGCTTCTGATTATATTAGTTTTAAATATCATATATAAAGTCATTTTTATTAAATAATCTCAAACACATCTAATATATGTTAAATTCTCTAACTGCTTTTGGATTAATTTAGACCAGAGGTCATGGATTGGCCGAGTTTGGTTATATACCAAACTGAACGACTGTTGTTCTCTATTTCAAAAAACACTTTAGATTCTGTGTCATGATTTTATCAAAAGCTCGGACCCACATGCAGAGAAACCAATTCAGAGAGACCAGGGGAAAGGTTTAACAGGTTTATTGAAGAGATAATGCTGAATCAAGTGTTGATGAAACCGGAACTGAAGAGTGAGGGGAAGACAGAGTGTTTTGTTCAGGCTCAGTAGGAAATTTGGTTCTTGAACTTGAAGAGGAGAATTTGGCTACTGACTCACGTTTCCAGAGAAGTTTTTGACTCTTTGATTCCAGTCTGTGTGCGGTAGTTCCAGTGTTTGTCTGATTCGGTGGAGGGCGGACAGGGTTTACCCAGAATGCGGTTGTTTGTAGGTGAACGGAGAAGCTGACTGCCACTCAGATTTCCTGCGATACTTGAACGGGTCGTAGTGGAGATGAATCCCTTGCTCAGTGTGAAGCTCAAACAATCTCTTGAGGGGAAGTGGATTCAAACCTCCAGTTTAAATCCTCAGCTCAGTTTGAAGCTCAGATGATCCTTCCAGGGAGAGACGGTCCGAAACATCCAGTTTGCAGGATGACTTCCTTCCGAGAGGCAAAGACAAAAACAACAAGGTTACGCTCAGGTTGACAAGAACTCAGTTTGACTCAGCAAAACTCAGCTTGGCTAGAGTACCCAAAACTGGCAAACACTCTGGCGTCGAGGTAGTGGCAGTCAGCAGCTTAAGAACACTCCGTTAATGAGGTAACCCTCCGCAGGTGTGTGGGGAGGCGGACCAGAACCAGGCGCCTCCTGGTGGAGGAAGGGAGACAAACACAGAAACACAAACAGACAGACAGGAATCCTGACATTCTGAAATTGAAAAATGCTCTATTTGTTTTTTATTTGCCTTTTTTTATTGAAAAATTTACAGACCTTTACTGGTGGATGATTTTCTTTATTCGGACCCCTGGTAATTTTTCATTGGTTACCCCTGATATAGACTGAACCATATTGGAGTAAAACAAGTTATTTTGTTGATTTTGATTATTGATAATACAGGATCAAATCAAGCTGATGACTTAATTATCTTACACCGTTTACAATCTGTTCGTTATGTCAGACCTTTAAACTAAAACAAAAAACGTATTAACTATGTTTTAATATTTCATTGTTTTGCAGACCTTATTTTAAAGGGTCTGTATTGTTGTGTATTGGGCGGTGAAATAAAGTGCATCATTCATGCCAGGACCTCCACTACTTGCAGATATCATGCTTCATGTTATATTTTTCTTTTGCTACAGGAAAAAAACTAACTTAAGTTGAGTAAACATGCAGTATGAGCTGAATCTCGCACAAAACATTCAAAATGAAGAAAATATATCATCTACCTTGTTTCTAGCAAAAGCTTTTGGGAATGTTCTTGTCAAGAGGCCAAAGCCTCTGAAACAAGATTCAGAGCGTCTCAATGCAATAAAACCCCTCATGGAGCACCAGGCTAATCAAATTCACTCCTTTCTTTCAGTTAGGTATCACTGCACATATTACAGACCTGACACGTCTGAAGCTGCTGAGTAATATTCTGCCACGCTGAGCTGGAGTGGCTTTTCTGCTCAGATATGTGTGATATAAAATAACAATAATGAAAAAAAAGGAAAGCAATGCATTTGTTGATTTCGGTCAAAGAATATACATCAAAGGACATGTCCTGGCTTATATTTGGCTTTTAATAAAAAGGAACATGGGGACAAATCTGTTCCATCAGTCGATCTGTGGAGGAGATTACGTACGGCATTTGAGCTCTGTTTATTAGGACCGAAGTAAGGGGAGAAAACAGAATAAATAAGGCTTTTTTTTGCATCTTAGTTTATTTTTAACATTCATTTGTTTGTATTTACCTCATTCCAGATATCCCTTTATTGTATTCGCTGCGTTAATTAAGAAAATATTTGGCAATTATTGCATGGAGAGATGCTCTTCAAGTTTAATAAGACCCCTACTGGAAGAAGAAATCTATTGTTTCTCTCTCCGCAGAATCATGCAGTTGCTCGCCAAACAAATGTACAAAACACCCAAAAGCGGTTTTCCATGCCAGATTAATTAGGCTTTCTCTGCAGTTTGAAAACCCAAGCCTTAATTTGGATACAAGTCTCATAAGGTTAGATGGATATGATGGCATACGCTGTGCGTAAGTGAGGCAAAAATCTACAATAATCACAGCCTGCCACCCCACCCCCCACCGCTGACTTTCTCCACTGTCCGTCTTCTCTGCGGATCTCAGGCCAAATGTCTCTGTTGACAATCCAGTAACCCTGAAATGGAAAGCTGTACCCGTGTCTGTGTACACTGTACACATGTACCAGCTGTTAAATCAGTGTCAGCAGCGCCCACTGGAACCTAATCTGTTACCTCACAGTGATTTGTGTGTGCGCTTGTTAGCGGCCTCAGCCTCTTGAATCCTGGTGTGCCTCTTTACATCCTCTACATCTTTACTACACTTATACAAATGGACTTAACGTGGGAATAAGGCACACAAAGTCATAAAGTGGGTTCTTCACATGAAAAGAGTCAAGCTGCGGTGCATCATTTAAAAACACGAGAATCTGCTTTTTTAAAGATAAAGGAAAAACATTTGCAAGATGGGCAGGAATGAGCAGCCCGCTGAGGAGAGTCTGTGCCTAGTGACTTTCCATCGCTAATCCAGCTTTGGAGGGTTTAGCCTTCTAATTTGCTGTCACACCTTCACAAATCTGAGGAGTTAAGAAGTATTGCAGGGAAAATACTCCAGTAGACTGAATTCTCAAGCTAAAAAAAAAATAAAAAAAATGGACCTAATCTTCAGTGTTGGTGGACTGGACTGCCAGTCGCAGCACAGGGTCAAACCGAACAGCAGTGTGCAAAGAAGATCTTCAGAGTTTATTGTTGTGATGTCTGTGATGCTAAATAGTATTTAACAGGAATTGGATTCATAACCTTATCTAATAACTTAGGTCTAAAACATATTCCTATAGGTGTATAGTGATTATTATGTATAAAAGTATCCATACTATTTATTTATTGTTTTAAAATAAATATATTTCAGCAGAAATTTAGAGTAAGATCTAAATATATATATTTGTCCTGCATAGTTTTTTAGGTGATGATTCTACAAGTTATTTAGATTTTTAGCAGACTATCAAAAATAAAACAAGCAGTTTGTCTGCAGTCAAGCTGGTTTATACCTAGTTAGCAAGCTTATCGTAGTAAAAGGGAAGTTCACCATATCCTTTATCTTCTTCATTTCCAAACCAGTACATCTTAGCTAACTCTTGTTTATGAGAGGTTTAAATTACGCGTTAATTATGCATTTGTGTGTGGTATCCACGCAGCTTGATTTTCTTCTCCATCCTCTAACGAATATATGTAACTTTGTGGACAGCTCCACGTGTAAAAACCTGATGGAGGAGCAAAGAAACACTACTGCGAGATGTTTGCAGATTTTAGAATCTAGAACCATTTATTAATAAGTCTCATAAATATCACTATGAGCCACAGATTGTGAAAAACTCTTCTGTGTCTCATTCCTGATTTTAACAGCATAGTATTGATAGCTTTATACTTGTGTAATTAATTAAATATTTGTGGCTAAAAGAGCTATTGTAAGCTATCAAAAGTTAGCTTTAAATGAGCCTTTCTTCCTCTTTCAGTTGTATTGTCTGTTAAAATGTAAACACACCAATCAGGCACAACCAATCAGAATTTCAGGGTAGCTTGGCATTTATCTTTGGTGTTCCTGGAAACCGGCTCCTAAAATGAATGTCACCTCAGCCAGCTAAATGTCAATTTTTGCTCCCACACCCAATGGCTTTCTTTCCTGCAAACCAATTTGCGAGGCAGTCATTCCTCCTTTTAAGATAGTGTACAGTTTTGTAGAATTAAAGTGTGGATCTCATTACAGGCTTCATTTATCATCTTTTGTCTCTGTCTGTGTCTCGTTTTCTGTCTTGCAGCTCAATGAAATGTTCAGGAAGTCACAGGTGCACAAAGAATTCATGGGAGTTCGAGTCCGTCAGCTGGCACAAAACGACTCCATCCTGGCCTACGTGGAGGTCCATTTCAGGCCAGGTGAGAAGTGTTCGTTCATGTTCAGAAAGAAAATCATTACTGCCAGAAAAGAAAATGAGAACATTAGAAATATACATCCTGTATTTTACAACATTTTCTATTAAATCCTCATGCAACAGTTCAGTCTAACCTGAAATGATAAGGAGTCTGTAAATAGAAACAACTGATATTAGGAAAACATATTACAGTCAAACCGCTGTCCTGTAGGGAAGTAAACCTGAACCATATTTCTGTGTAAAATGGTGAATGCTGATATGTTTACAGTAGATTTACCTTGTAATTGTTTATGAAAGCTTGCTATTCTAAATAATCCAGCAGGCTTTATGTGTTTCCTTACAGGTTAACGGGCTGATCTCTTTAACAACATGTCATATGCTAAATATAACTAAAAATAAATAAATGACTGAAATGTTAGAACTGTAAATATACAGTCATATGTTCATATCACTCTTTTTATGTGTGTTGTTACTGTTTTCAAGGCTGCACTTTAAAAAGAGAGAGAGCTTTTCTTAATGAAATTTCATTTTGTTTACACAAAATGATAAAATAAATCTATGTCTAACTCTAAAATATATTAATGGCCATGTGAAATCTGCAAAAATAAACTTGTACTCCTCAGACTGAATGAGCATTACGCCCACCCCATCAAAAGCCCTTTTTTTTTTTGGTCTGCAGTTATGGAGTGAATTTTGGTCCAAATTTTAAGCTGTTTTCTTTACTTTTTTTAATCTTTTAGAACGAAGGATAATATTATTAAGAATAGCAAAGTACACCCAAATATTATCCTCCCTCAGCGTTCAAACTCAGCCCTGATTGCTGGTCCCTGTCGAAGGCAGAACTTGTCCTTACGTTTAGAAAGCAAATATTAACGTGACTGATTGATTTTACTGTCATTCAAAACAACTGGCTGATTAAATATGAGAATGGTCCGGTGGAGTTTATGGACCAGAACCCCAGCTCTTACCTGGCGCTTTTATTTTAGCAGAATTATTCCTTCAGAAAAATGTTTAATAAAAAATATTTTTTTTTCTTTAAAAAAGTAAAAGAGCCTTTGAGAGAGCCTCTGATAATAGTAGGCGCATTAGCATTAGTGTTCTTACATCTTAATTGTTAAATTATAAGCCTTGCTTTACCTGTTTTAATAGCTGTTACCACTATAACAAACCTATTGTTCAAATAACTGGAGCATCCTTGCCTAATTAAAGGAAAGTTGGTATTTAAAATCCATATAAAATACATTTCTCAAGTCTGCTGAAGATATAATGTCTCAGAAAGCGTAGTAGATGCACCATAACTGCGGCTTTAAACTACCATCAGTAGCCAACAGGAGCGGGTCCCTGTCCTCCATCCTTCTTTCTTATTTTCCTTTGTTTTATGATCAACATTTAGCGTCCTTCATACCCTTCACTTGGGGCAGCGGATGCTGTTATACGGCGCTCCTCCATGGCTTGTAAAACAAACATCTGCGGCGAGTATTATGAAAGCGATTCATCTGGAAAAAAAAGCCGGACAAGCGGCGGTTGGAGGACAAGTGGTCCGCAGGGACCCTCCACCTGCCACGCACAAGGCTGTTTGATATATTCATTGTACCATTAAAGGAGCTTGCATCCTGCGTTTTGCTTTGCAGGGATCCTCAGAGGCCTTGTCCTGAATGCTTGTACCTCTTCTTAATCACAGATACGAGATACAACGTGAAGGACATCAAGGGAGCGCTGCTGAAACAGTTAAAGGCTTCCAAAGACACCAGCCTCTCTGTGAAGAAGCCCACGGCAGAGAATATTCACTTCACTAATTATGGTAATGTGATGTGGACTTAACAGCAAAGTGTGAGGATTTAGAAAGTGAAAGAGGGTATTACTGTAACTTATTCATAAGGAAGCTTATTGAAGGTTTTCTTAAACTCAAAATATTAAGAACCTAAAGCTAAACGTTTTTTTCTCTGCAGGTTTATCCACCATCCCATTGTTTACCACCACCACCACCACCACAGCTGCAGTCACCACCGCCGCCCCCATCACCACATCCAGAGCTCCTGCTACATCCCCCTACTTCACACGCCGCCCAGAAGGAATCACCCGCAGGTTCCCCGGCGGCAGGCGTACCACCACCACAGCGCCGCCGGTCATCAGAACCTCCACTACCACCTCAGCACATCACCCCACAACCACTCAGCCGCCCGCCAACACCACACCAAGAAAGGGGACTACACCCAAGACCCTAAAGCCCTGCGACTCCCACCCGTGTCTCCATGGTGGCACCTGCGAGGACGACGGCGACGAATTCCGCTGCCAGTGCCTCGCTGGACGAGGAGGGGCGGTGTGTGAGAAAGGTTTGTCCATCCTAGTTTTTCCTTTGCCCATCCTGGATTTTTTTGTTTGTTTGTTTTAAGCCACAATACAGCAAAAAATAAATAAATAAAGGCAAAAATTCATCGAGATTTTGCAGCAGCTAAGAAGTTCGAAAATGCTTTGGTTGCCAATGTGCAATCTTTCAGTTTCAGTTCTATGAGGTGACTGCAGGGTGACACCTAAAGCAGCGGTGGGAGTGATGACTTCCATTTAGAGCCGGATTATGGAAATGAAATGTTAAGTGGCCACAGATGTGGATTTATTGGGCCATTTAAAGCTTAACGAATTAACAGCACTCAGAGCACAGAACACAACATCTCGTTTATGCTTTTATTTCATGCGTCGAGGTTTTAAATCAAGTTTGAAATAAAAAAGTGAGTCAGAAGCAGGCTGTTCCTCTGCATTGTGTGCTTCAGCCTCATCATTGATTCAGACAGGTTCCCATCCCAGACATGCAGCCACTGAGCTGCTCGCCAAGGGCAACACCAAATCCAGGCAGCACCACAGAGAAAAAGCAAAAATCAACAGAAAAAAACTTATTGAAAAACTCTTTTTTTATTCCTTCCCTCTTACCCTGCTTTGGGATTTCGGGCTAGCAAGCAGCGACCTCGCACAGCTGCATCTTCAGATAATTGACACTAATTGCTTTGATGGGGATTAGATGATGAGAATTACTCGGTGCCTTTGAGTTAAAGTGGCTAACTGAAATCACAAACACCCACCAAACTGCACACGCAGCCTCCACCGGATCAATCCAGCCGTTAGAAGACAAGGAGCTCATCAGATGCTGCGCTCGTCACAGAGACTGATGAGACGGACATGAGAGGAAAGGAAGCTAAAAACAGAGTTTATTTAAATGTATGTGTGCATGAAAAAAAATGTGGAAATGTGTTGAAATAAACTAATAAAGAGGTGGTGATTTATCATGGCCACTTAGGCTTAATTATGCTCATTTGGCTCCTGGTTGACAACGCTAAATCATATCACAAAGTAATGACAGGACTGACTTGTTACCGCCGTTTCCCCGCAGTGATCAAGTACTTCATCCCGTCGTTTGGAGGCCAGTCCTACTTGGCCTTCCCGACGATGAGCGCATACCACACGGCCCGGATCGCCATGGAGTTCAGAGCGTCCGAAATGAACGGCCTGCTGCTCTACAACGGCCAGATGAGGAAGAAGGACTTCATCTCTCTGGCTCTGGTCAACGGCAGAGTGGAGCTCAAGTGAGTGGCGTCTAATTCCGCTTATCGATCCTGGGTTTCTTCCTCCCTGATCCATCTCTTATCACAAAGACACGATGAAACATTAATGATCCCCGTGAGGGAACAGGGTCATTGCAGCAGCAGCTGGGAGACGACGTAAATAAGAGCAAAACAGAGAGGGCTGAGGATAATGAGGCAAATAATTACAGCGAGTAAACATGTAGGAAACAGCAGAGCCAGGAAATAAATAAAAATAAGGAGACTTCTGGGCTATTTGTAGGTTGAACTCATATATTTAGATACTAATCTGAGCAATCTGAACACATGAAGGCATTAATGTTCAGAATATACTCACAGATTATTAGTTCACATGGGTTTTAATCACACAAAGTAGAGCATTATTGTGTTTACAATCAGTTTTAATGACTCTGTGCCTTACCTGCATCTAATATAGGGACAATATAATTAAGCTGGAATGCCTGCAGAGAAAAAATGTTTACTTTTTTGGAGATTTCACAAAAATCTGGAAATAGAAAATTGCCTTATAGGTACAGGAACATCGCAGACAATACTGTGAAATGTTTTATAAAGCCGTTTTTTACTCATTTTTACGGAGTGAAGTATTTTTAAACTGGAATTTTTTTTAATTATTATTTAAATTTATAAATAAATAAAAAAAAATGTCTCAGGAAATTCTGATATTTTGTTAAATAAATGTTTCCTGATTCTGTAAATGGTCTCAAAGGCTACATTCACACTGCAGGCCTTGATGCTCAATTCAGATTTTTTTGTGAAATCTGTTTTTTTTGCGTTGCCGTTCACATTTCCAAATATATGCAACTTGTGATCTCCTGTGTGAACTGCAGTCATACAACGCAAGTGTCCTGCATGCGCAGTAGAGGACGCGATGACGTCACTTGCCAGCGTGCTATATGTTTAAGGAAGTAAACATGGATGGTAGTGCCAGCGCGCATCTAGTGATCTTTTACAACCATAAAAACACAATATTTTCAAGATGGTTAAAACATAAATACTGCTCTACGCATCACTGACATGGTTGTTGTTTTTCTTGCTGCTTCTTCATAGCAAGACCCAGAATAATGACCTTTGTCAGGTATTAATGTCGTTCATATCGGCTGAATGCGACCCAGCCGTTCAGACACAGGTCGCATATGAAAAGATCAGATTCGTATCAGATTCAGGACCACATAGCCAAGTGGCCTGGGTCGCATTGGAAAAAGTCGGATCTGTGTTGTTCAGACTGCCATGAACAAATCAAATCCAGGTTGCATATGGGCCAAGCTGCAGTCTGAACGTAGCCTTAGTCTGGGCCTGTATCATGTCAATTGGAAGAACAAGGAGGGAAAACCACAAACAGCCATCGAAGAAAAACCGGCTGCTCACAGGGAGGAGGGGGAGTGTTGGCCTAGTGGGTTAGAGCAGTGCACTTTTGCTCTGAGAAGGTTGCAAGTACCAAGTTCATCTTCACAGACTGCTGCTCTTGGTCTCTGAGCAAGACCCTTAACCCCACACTGCCCCCCGGGGGCCACACAATGTCAGCCCACTGCTCCCTAAGGGGATGGGCTGAATGCAGAGGTACATTTCTCCAATAAGAGATTAATGGAAAGTTTAGAGGAAGGAAAAAAGTGTGATAAAAATAGGTGCACCAGCAGATTTAAGAGGATTGCCACATATTAATCTTACTTCCTCTGACTTTAAGCATCTTCTCCCACTGCTGAAGGCACCAAACCTGGTTCTGTCGTGTTTAACTGGCCAGCAAATAATGCCTGACCCAAACCTTAAAGAAACTCTATGGGGTAATTTGAACATTAGGATAAGAGAACCAGAACCAGCTGTTCAGATGACCTGGAGCTAAACTGCCTTTGTTTGCACCTCAGCTTCAAACCCAGTGTAAGGATGCTGATAGGCAGCGAGGATTAGGGCTGCAATGCCTCCAATCATGCTGCATTACTCATAACTGTATTTTTTTATATTTTCTATCTGGTATTTAATACAAATAAATACTTTTAACTTTTTTTTTTCTGTCCTTGACTTTTCCCTCCTGGAAAAGATATTTTGATCTCACTGAGGCTTTACCTGTTTAAATAAAGACCATATTTGTATTAAAAAATAACAAGAATTAAGTAATTAATGCTAAATCAAACTGAGCAAAACTATTGTAGAAAAACTTCTGGAAGGAGGCAGTTTAAAAGGCAAATCTACCAAATAAAAGAAAATAACCTGGTGGATAAATAAACCAAAACATTTACTCAGTTTAGAGTAGCACTACTTTACCATTTTTTTTTACTAAAGTAGAAGGTAGAAGACGAAGATTTTACTTAAAAATTACTTAAAAAAATAGCTAATTATGCAGCAGTTGTTTGCTCATAACATTCAATCTTAAAAAAATGATGTTATCAGACAGAGATATGCAGACATTCTAGTTTTTAAAGTAAAAAATACAAATAAATAACACTATTACATACTCAAATTTAAGCAGACAAAAACATTTTTCCACCTCAGTTTTTGAAAATTAGCAAATCATTACAGTAAGAAAGGATAAAGAGGTTGTAGCTTCAATGTCTTCTTTTTATTACATGATGTCAGAGAAGCTTAATTTGCTCATGGAGGTAATCAGAATTAAGAGAAGCAATAATCTCATAATATTATATGACCTAAGTAAGACTAAAAGGTAGACTTAAGTACAAATACTACTAAAAGTAATATTCTATTCTTAAAGTTTGTCAAATAACCTATTACTACCCACCTCTGTAAATAATGTTAATTTTCCTCAATGACCTAAACCTGGAAATATTTATGTCTGATTTCATGTTAGATGGTTAAAAAAAAACCCAGCAGATCTTCTGATAAAAGCTGCTGTAACTTGCATGTATATATAATGATAAAAAAAAAAAAAAAAACGTTTTTCAATGCAGATAAACTTAAAAAGACAATCTGGATATTAGGCCCAGATCTTTGAAAGAGAATAGAACATGTTGGATTAGAGGCGAGACGATATGAGACGGGAAACATAAAGAGTACTTTCAGTATTATTTCCTCTCACCTTTTCACTGGCGAGCACCAGTCCTTTGAAATTGGCCAATTTTCTTCCCAGAAACCAACAGAAACACAAAGTATTATAATCTTGTTCATAATAGTGTGTATTCATGTCTTCTCTCCCAGCAGAACTGTGTTAATAAATACCATTTTAAAAGGCAGCAACTTCAGAAGACAGCTCATTAGACTAATTATAGATACGATTTAAAGCCATTTATTCCTGCTCCATCCGCTAACCAGGGATTTTAGATTTGACAGGGATTGAGATTCTCCTGGACTGACCCGGCTAGATCTACTGTATACACCGAAAATGACAAAACTAAAGGAGACGGTTACACACGGGAGCTTTCATAGGGAGCTCTGCCTCAGTTCCAGAAATACAGCGGTGAGATTACCACCCACAGCTTCGCAAATCTGAGATGTGGGGGGAAGATATAATTATTTGTGGCAGATAATTGCTCTCAGGTTGAGCTAATACTACTGAACGTGTGGGCGCAGGCAGACGACAGCTCTTTTCTGTGATGATACAGCCTTTTTTTTTTTTCCCAACAAAACCTCATTAGATGAAAGGTCGTGTGGAGAAAAAGGTTTTGAACATTTCCTTTGCTGAACATTTCATGTAGTTTCTCCCAGTCTGGAAGTTATTGTATCTTCTCTTTCATTGCTTTGAGCAGGTTTCCTGCAGCTTTAGCTTGATAAAGAGCAAACATAAGCTTGGGAAGAACTGTGGTTTGGGTCGGTATCAAATATGAGTGTACGCAGGAGTTGGGTTGGATTTTTCTGACTGAATCTCTGTCTGATCCTTCAGGTTTAACACTGGATCGGGAACAGGCACCGTGATCAGCAAGGTTCAGATCACCCCGGGACGCTGGCATCAGCTGGTGGTGACGCGCAGCCGGCGAAGCGGCATGCTCAGCGTCGACGGTGAGCCGCACGTCCAGGGTGAGAGTCCTCCCGGTACTGATGGGCTCAACCTCGACACCCAACTGTTCATTGGAGGGGTGACGGACGACCTGAAGCAAGAGTAAGGATCCCTATCGAAGCTGAGAGTCATGTTAGAGAGAAACACAGTGGTTCTGACTTCCTGTCGCTCCTCAGTGTTAAGGAAAGGACCGGGGTCACCTCAGGTCTGGTTGGCTGCATCCGCATGCTGGACGTCAACAACCGGATGCTCAACATTCAGGAGAGCAACGGCGACAGCCTCTTTGGCGCCGGAGTGGGTGAATGTGGTAACAACCCCTGCCAGCCGAACCCCTGCAAGAACGGAGCCGAGTGCCAGGTCAAAGAGGCTGAGATGTTCCACTGCAAGTGCAGCAATGGATTCTGGGGTAAGTCAGTCAAAAGGTGAAAGCTTCTTTGCTGCAGCAGTAATATCCAGGAGATTCTCAATTAGATTTAGGTTTTTTTTATTTTTTTCGTTTTTTTTTTTACATCTTAACTCTGAGAATGTATTTCTTGCTGCTGAAAATACTAGATTTGTTTTCACAAGTGGACCATCATTAACCTGACAACAGCCAGATGCATGTCTCGCTCCGCCTAGCTCCACTCACATACATCTGGGAACCCGCCATAGGAATTGCCTTACTGAAGGCTGGGCCTTATCAAAACTCCTTGCATATGATTGGATAAGCCACTTGTCTGTCATCTTTATTGACGTGCTATTTCAACCACTCACACCGAAGCTAACCCGTGACGCTGTGAGAGGAGGAGCCATTTGGTAGATCAAGCTCTTGCTTGCTTCCTCGATGCGAGCCGCCATTGTTGTTGGAATCTCACGGTCGCTTCTCCACTCCAGGACACACCCGCCCTGCGTCCTGATTGGACAGACCATAAATTCGGTTGGGGAAATCACTTTCAATGAGCGGGTTCCCAGATGTATGTGAGTGGAGCTGGGCGGAGCGAGACATGCATCTGGCTGTTGTCAGGTTAGACCATCATGGGTGTTGCCATAAAGTTCCACTTGGTATATAAAACTTCCTTCAAGGTTGATTTGGGGGAAAAAAAACATATGCAATGGACATAGAGAGAGAGAGGAGGGTGAGAAAGGGAGAATGCATAAGAATTAAGGTAAGAGAAAAAGAGAGAATTAAGGAAAGAAAGATAAAAAAGGGAAAAACCGAAAATAAAGAATAACTCTTAGAAGTCTGCTTCAACACCTACAAGAACCGAGGCGGAAGAAAAAAAGAGCAAAACACAACAGACCAAGACAAAAAAGGGAGTATCCTAATCACATGCTTTAAATACATGTAAATTAACATAAAAAGCAAAACCCACAAGGATTATGATGTTATTCAGATCTAAATAAAGCTGAAGCTGCAGCTTAGTATTTAGCATACCTGTGTCTCCATGAACACCTGGATACAAGCGGCTGTGGTGTATGACATGACTGTTCTCATGAATGTAGGTTAATAATTCTCCTTCAGCTTTTAGATATGCTCAATAGCAGGTGTGAGGGACCCCAGACCCGCCCCAAAGAGCCCAAGGCTGCCACAGCAGAGACCAAATCCCTAGATATCCAAAGGCAGCCCAGAGTAAAGGGACACAGTGAGGGCAGACACAGAGATTAGAGCTAACTGTTTGCATATTCAGCAAATTTATCACCTGGTTATGTGAACATAATGACTGGCACAGAGACAACTGGAAGATCAAATCTGAAACCCTGCCTACGTTGCTCCTTGTGGATTTCTTCTATCCCAGATCAGGATTTTTTGACTGTTTTATGTAGGCCATGCTGATATGATCAGACTTTTAGTGTAGAGTTTGGTTTTAGTAGAAAACAACCACCTAGAAGCTGTTTCTGCAAAACTGGAGCTACAGACACAGATTGGACAACACCTACCTGTGTTTGCATGTTGCTGCATCACACATCTGGGCCTCAGCAGACATCGTCTGTAGTGTATGTTATTTCAGGCTGGCAGGTTTAGTTGGGTTAGACCAAATCATTGGTGAAGAAGGGCTGGTGTAAGATTTGGCTTTGTAATATCTATTATTAGTTTGCAAGTCTTAAAAAGTTATAAGAAGTAGTTAAGATTTTAATCATTTACCCTACTGTCGGAGATGATCAGATAAAAACTGGTTTGTAATGTTTAAAGTGTGTCTGATCAGATATAATGTTTAAGACTTATAGATATTTGTATTTTTACAGTTTTCATGGATTTTTTTTGTCTGTTATTGTTTGGTCTTCATCAGACTTTCATAAATGTTACAGATTCCCCCAGATTCTGCTGTAATCAGAGAAAAATTTAAAGTAATAATAAGGCTTGGACCTTTGCCTGCAGGTTTAACATTCTTCTGGATGTTGTTGGGGTTTTTTCTAAAGTCAGTTTTAAAGTGTCCATGATTCTTTTATGGGAGGAAAGGGACAGTTCTAAGAGGGAGACAAGAGGGAATACATGATTCGGGAGGGCTGTAATTAGGAGGGAGGACATGCCAGGACAGCCAGATAATTGAGGGAGGTGAGGAAAGATCAGAGTTAAAGAGTTGAGAGAGGGGAAAGAGTTAGGGAATAAAAGAGCAGAGAAACCAGAGCAGAGGATGAAAAGGCAGCTTCCGAAAGCGGGGAAAACAGGGTAGCCCTGTGAGCTCAGCGGGGACGGGGTTCATTAACGCGCCCCCCTCCTCGCCACAGGCTCCCACTGCCGGAGTAATGACGGGTGAATTCAGATGGGCTGTGGCGGAGGGCAAACCCATCATTCGACAGATGTGTGTGAGCTTCTCCAAAAGGCTGCTTTGGCCCAGAAACATGGCGGCAGAGAGAGAAAGATTCCCACTTGTTTGTTAGGGATGTCAGATAAAAAGCTTAGCAAAAGTATTCACACCCCATGAACTTTTCAGCATTTTATGAGAAAGATCAACACATAATACTGTATATTGGTGAAGGAAAAGTAAAGAGCGTATGATTATTTTATAGATTTGCATTCATTAGCTCACTTTACCCTGAGACTGCTAAACAAGTGCAGCCAAATTCTTTCCGGAGTCACCTAATTAGTAAATGGAGGGTGTAATTTTCTTTCTGAGTGTAAACACAGGTTTGTCTGAGACGACCTCAGAGGACTTAGACTGTGTCTAAACTCTTCAGAAGTTTAGACACTTACCGTAATTTTCGGACTAAATGTCGCCCTGGAGTTTAAGTCACTTCAGCCAAAATATGCATTATGAAGGCGAAAAAACGTATTTGTCACAGTGGACTAAAAGTCGCACCTTTTTGAAAGGTTAATCTATTCAAGGTTATTCTATCCATGGAATGCGTGTTCTGATAACTGGCAGGTGGTAGGCTACTGCTCGAAGACTGCATATTTTTATTTCCTGAACGGGCATTTGAGACGCAGTGATAATGCGCCAGTTGCCCTGTCGCCTTCTCTGGTTGTTTTAAATATCACCACTACTATCATTAATACTATTACTACCATTATAGGCGTACATGTCAAAGGCCTAGTCTACAGGACTATTTTACAGCCTAATTTACACTTTAAATTAGTTTCCTTTTAGAGCATTTTACCGGTAGGGCTTATCGCCCGTGGCGATTTGTCAATAAAACTGCAGTCACCATCGAGGATTGTCCTTCGACATTTCTGTTCGATTTTGTTTCATCAAACAAAATAAAAATATTTCATCAAATAAAATAATCTCCAAAGACAGGTATGGTAGTAAAAACGGTGAAGAAGAAATAAACACGAACAAAATGAAAAAATAAAAAAAAAGGCAGAAAGTGCGCCTGTCCGATACTAGATAAAAACATTTAACGTCATTCAGACCACTATAATTTGTTTTGTTGTGGTAACTGGTAATGTTTTTTTTCTTTCAGTGGTATTAATAGAATACGTTGTTGTGTGCAAAGCTACAAAGCGCCCTCTTGTGGTGAAAAAAATAAATCGTATATATGTCGCACCAGAGTCTAAGTCGTATGGCTAGCCAAACACCAAAAAAGTGTGACTTATAGTCCGAAAAATACGGTAGTCCAAACAAGGGGCGAGATGCCTACTCATTCTTCTTTCAAAGAAGGTCAAACATTGTTCAAGTGTTTTTCCTAAAGCCATTGAACAAGACCTAAATGCATCTAAAGCAATTCCTGAAAATGTTTGTTGTTGTTTTATTTCACAGAAAAATGTTCCGCACTTTAAAGACAGAATATGCTTTTTATAAGATCCTTCAAACATGGCACATCTTTGGGAAAAAATGCTTCACAACAGATACGTTGTTGCTCCGCCCCTCATGGCTGGCATCCTTGGAAACTAGAGTGTCATACCTTACCAGCAACCAATCAAATGTCTTTTTCTGATTTTATTCAGATATCAGGTATCTCTATGTAAAGAAGGTTAGAGAAGTGCTGGTTGCAATTATAACCTCAATGCTTTAAGCACAGTTTGACTTACAAACTTCTATGCGCAAAGATCATTAAAAGCACATTTTTTTTGACCAGATTCCCTTTAAATGGGAGAAAAATTAGAAGTTTGGTTACCTTGTGTCAAAACTTACAGGTCAAGCGGGGACAATGATGCCCTATAACAATGGTGGATCAAATATGCTTTAACTGATTCATTCCAAATTTGCTGCAGTCAAGGTAGTCGTTTCATGGTGTTTAACCTCATTTATTCAGAACCCTTCTAGATTGAACGCGGTAAAGCAGTCATTAGGTAATGAATCAATACAGGAAGCTGCCAGATTTCTGCCCAAAACATCCTCTGAAAGTAGAAGACACTACCGCAAACCTACCAAGATAAGACCATCCACCTGCTTACAGAAAGGGATAAAAGGCCATAGACCTTTTAGACCTGATTTTGGGGTTCATGGTAACTATTGTAGCTCCAAAGATCAGGTCGGAGACCATTACTGGCCCCGCACTCCAAAAAGAAGAAGGCCAAATAGATGAAGATGTTTACACTGTGTTGGCAGCATTTCAGGATATGTTTCTTCATGCTGTTCATAAGATAGTCTTCATCAAATCTGACTGAGGTTCGACTCTTTTTTTCTTTTTTTTCCCAAAAGTAAAATTAAACCAAATCTATTGAATTTAAAGGTGTTTTTTACAAAGTATTTGCTAATGTGAATGCCACAAAAGTTGAACATTCACCATTTTCTTTTCATTTAGGTCCAACGTGTGCTGACGTCCATGACCCCTGCAAAGACAGCAAGTGCCACAGTTCCTCCAAGTGCAAGGCGCTCCCAGCGGGAGGCTATAAATGCGAGTGTCCCATGGGACGTGAGGGAAAGCACTGTGACAAAGGTAAGTTTATTACCCACCTATCTGATTTCCACCCCTGTCCTGAGTATCTGCATATTTTTTCTGACACTTCCATCCATCTTTCATGAAATGAAAGCATGAAACGTGCAAACCCGGCAGTATAGAGGACATGGGGGGGGGGATTGACGCCTTGCAAAGCTGTGGCAGATGATTGGCCCCATTGGGCCGTTCACCACATCGACTCGGGTATGCTTGTTAGTGAGGAAGCAGAAACATTCCCTGCCTCTCCACCCACAGGTGTTGTGCTCCGACTTGTTTGTTGCTGCTTAGTTTCACACGCCAGAACCGGGCCGCTGGTGGGTAAAAGACCATAGCACAGCTCGGATGCCTTTGAAGTTCATCATTAGAAGTTTTGGCGGTGTCACATTGTGAATTCTACTTATGTTCTTCCCTCCCTTGCCTTTTTTCTATCCCAAATGCTGCAAATTAAGGAGAATATGCTGCCGTGCATTCTCCAAAACAAAAGAGAATACACACATACATGTGAAATAAAAAAAAAAGAAAACAGACGGGAGTAGCCTCCATCTTCTCCTCTTTCAGTTAGGCGATGATTAAAATAAATTGAGGTGAACCAAAATCAATGCTGCGTGAGCTCGAGCCTCTCCCGTTCCAAAAGGCTATTTTTACAAAGGAATCAATGAGATGACTAATCGCATCACAGTGATTAATGGCGGCATCAGTCAGCTGGAGTGTCAGTGGCAGACAGGAGCTCCCAGATAAGAAGGCAGTCAGGCGCACGTCCCTCTCAGAGCCACACTCTTAACGGTTAAAAAGACAGGTAGCTTAGAGCATCATCACAGGCCTGAAGGTGAACATGCCCATAAAGTGAAGTATGTGTTTGTAAGATGAGGTTTCCGCTCTAATCCAGCCGGGGTTCGTCAGTTCAGCTCGCCTCTTGATACATTCGCCGTCAAGGATTTTTCTCAAGGGGTTTCCAGTAGGACTGAATCACCTGCTTTCCTCGCTGCTTTCACCCTGTGATAGTGTGGATCATTATAATTTACCGATGAAAGCGAGATCACTTAGAAAAACACACTTCAGGGGGAGTTTTGGCTCCAGCAGGGGATTCCAGTTGCTACATCTTCACCACCAATCAGGGACCATGTTGTGTCTGCATGCGAATCTCAGCGCACTCCAAGCAAGCTGGCAGCTGGTTCCTACTGCAGACATAAACACCTTTTAGGCCGTGAGTCAGAGTCATCTGTGAGCCTCAGACACAGTTTCTCATTTTTTGCAATTTTGCTTTTATGTTACTGATCATAATTTATCATGAATTTAATTTCCTTTCCAACCATAAAAAAATAAAAAAATTCCACACCCTCTATCCCCTGTTGACGCCACGTTGGATTACTGATGTGAGGTCTGATGTTAGGGCTTCCATGCCCTTGTTGTTTTTTTTGTCTTCATTTTCCCGTTTTTAATTAACTTCCTTTTAAAAGTGTTGTCTGTTGTATTTTAAATGTTTTAAAGTAAAATGTTTGATCCATACATCAGCATTCTCCCCAGATATCTGAAAAAAATTGAACTTCAAAACACCTGGAAGCAGAGCATGAAGATTGGAAAAGATAGATTACATTTTCAGAGACAAAACATAGTCATTGTTGAAATAGTTGCTATAAATTTTAAATTAACGAAAAATGAAATCTTTAGAAATGTCCTTTTCCAAAATGTGGAAATATCTTAATAAAACAACTAAAGCTGGAAAGACACCCCACATTTATTTTCCAGATTTGAAGCAAGATCTACAATTGGGAAAAATCTTCAGCAGTCTGATGTATTTGTGTCGAGTCATTGCAAAATGAGTGTTAGACAGTAGGTGTGGAAAAGACCTTAACCCCAACCTTTCGACATTTTTTCTGGACCATACTTGTAATTTTAATTCAATTAAATTTATTTATATAGCACCAATAAATAACACGTCATCTCAAGGCACCTTACAGAGATAATTCAACCAGATCATACAGTCAGATTGGTTCAAACATGCTTGTAGCGACGGTGGACAGGAAAAGCTCCCCTTTAACTTCTTAACATCTACCTCATTTTGCGTAATCCTCACCTATTTTGCATACTCAAATGGAAAAGCAAATAACTTAGGAACTGTAAGCCCAAATTACATGTGAAATACATTATTTGCAAGATAACTCTAGTTTCATAATATATATATCAAAATTGGCTGACTCGAACACAGACCATCCTGCATCAGTTCAAACATGACTCAAAGTTGTTGTTTTTCATTCTCAGAAATGATAGGTCTTTTTTTAACAGCAGTATTAAAGACATTCTTGAGAAAAGGCAGGTTTTGTTGTATTATAATTGTTCTACATCAGGTCAACCACATATGCAGAAAAATTCAGACCTCTAGCTATAACAGTTCCAGAGCTGCGGGGTTTGGAACTTTTGTTGTCAGCTTGGAGCTACGTGCAATGGCTCCACCTGCTGGTAAAAAATTTTACTGGTGGAATTTTATGCATTCTGAGTTATTACAACCGGCGACCCAGTGGGTTTTAAGAGGTTAACAGGAAGAAACCTCTATTACAACCAGGCTCAGCGTGAGCGGCCATCTGCCGAGGCCGACTGGGGTTCAAGGAGACAGAAGCAGACATACAGAAAGTAATATTGACCCCAAAGATAACTTTGATACTGCTAAGGAAAGACAAAGCCAGGCAGACGAGCTCTGAGCCAGCTCCCATGTCAGAGGATAAGAGAGGACATACAGTTAGTCACAGTCAGAGAAACAGGACTACTCTTAAAAAACAGGCAAAGCTCCAACTTTTATAAAAAAAAAATTGTAATGGGAGCAGCACAGCTGATATTTCTCTCAGGCATAAAAATCACAGCCTAAGAGTGAAGACAATGAGAAAAAGCAGAGAGAGCATAAATTAACAAATACTGCAGAATGGGATAGTAGAGGTAGAGTAAAGCAGAATAATAAAAAAGGGGTCCCCATGTCCTCCAGCAGTCTAAGCCTATAGCATCATAACTATAGAGATAGCTCCAGGTAACCTGAGCCACTCTAACTATAAGCTTTATTAAGGTTTGAAAGTAAAAAAACCTGATCCGGGTTTTGTTGATTTAAAGGTGTATATATAATTCTATAGATATATCTATATCTATATTTCTATCTTTCTCTCTCTCCTGCAGTGGAAATCCATGATTTACTAACCAGATGTGTTTTTATTGTCAGTGTGTTTGTTAGTGGGGAAAAAAAATACGAGATCCAACATTAACTATAATGGGCAAAAAAAATGGGAGATGCTATGGCTTTGTAAACACCTCACTTGGTTTATTGGGTTTATTGCAATTACTAAGGATGTAGCCTTCCTGGAATATAAATAGGAGTGCCCTGGAGAATAAACATTGACCTCTGTGAAATTGGAATTTTTTTACCTTTTTTTTTTTTTTTGCTCATTAATCTGAAATCATAGTTTAATATTGCATATAAAAAGTTCAGCTTGGCCAAGTTTGTTTTTCTTCTTTTTAGGCTCGGTGCCTATATGTGTTTTCTGACACCGCCTGACCTCATGTGTCTTATTGATCCTCGTATCAGGCCGAGCGAATGGGTGAAAGAGAGAGAAAACCACCCACACACTCACGCTGCGCCTTGAGAAAGTAAATTTTCAGCCTCTTTTCGTGCTCCAGTGGAGTTTACTTTAGCAGAGAATTTACTGCGTTCCTATTTTTCCCCTCATTTCCGTGTTCTGTGCCATCATCATTAGCAGTCTCCTGCACAATAGCTAATTAGCTTTCTCATCTCTGTCTTCCTCCTCCAGCTTGACTCAGCTCAGCTAATCCCAGCCAATTACAAATAAAAGCTGCCTTGCCAGCTGCAGAAAGGTATCTGGCCTAACTTGGGTGTTTATGCGAGTGTTTAGGAAACCACGTGGCCCTGAACGATGCTAGTCTTTGCACCATCAACCCATACCCCCTTCGGGTGACACTTGAAGGATTTTTAATGTCAACCACTTGTTAGAAGATGGCTCGGTGCCCATTCTAATGACTCCCGACAGCTAGGCGGAGGCACGTCGCAAAGACATGAATTTGCAAAAAAGGGCCTGCCAGAACACAATGGCTTCATTATTTTCAAGGTCCCAGACGTGTGTTAAACCCTCTGTGTCTCCGACGGTTCTTTGTCATCCAGTGGCGTGCTGTGTAATCAGTCTGGCATGAGTATTTCTGGATTTTTGTTTCGTTTCTTTGTTTGAATTTCTGCAGGGAGAAAATCTTAATCCCAGAGGCTACACTCACACACACAAATCCATCCCTGACAAGCCCCACTCCAATATATACCCACTATCTATGAATTTTAATTCAGCCGGAAAAGAAGAACTTGGGTTTGAATCTACTTGCTTTTTTTTTTATTTTATTTTCCAGCGACTGAGACGAGAGGGGCTTACATGCCTCTGTTCAACGGAGACTCCTACCTAGAGCTGAAGGGGCTTCATCTCTACGGGCACAGTCTACGGTAAGTCCCTTGTCTCAGCGTGAAATCTGCAAAGCATTAGATGAATATCACTAATAACACTGAACATCATGTAGTTCTCATAGATCCTAAGGCAGAGAGAGAGCTCATGCTTCTTTAAGACTGAGCCGAATACATAATGAAGATTGCACAACTAGCCTTCCTTAGTCTCTGATAACACTGCAGGTTTTGTTCACAAGGCGGTGTTTGTATCTTGCAGTCAAAAATTCAGCATGACGTTGGTTCTTATGGCCAATGACTCCAATGGTCTGATCTTCTACAACGGGCAGAAGTCTGACGGAAATGGGGACTTCATCTCTCTGTCCCTGAAACAAGGCTTCCTGGAGTTTCGCTACGATCTGGGAAAGGGACCTGCTGTTATCAGGTTCAGTTGGTTTAGAGAAAGACATCTGAAGCACTTGGAGGTTTGGACCATAATGATTGTGCTTATGTAACATAATGTGCGTCTGTGTTTGATTCAGGAGTAGGACCCCGATGAAGCTGAAGGTGTGGAACACCATTGACCTGGAGCGCTCCGTCCGCAAAGGAGAGCTCATGGTGAACAAGAAGGACCCGGTTCGAGGAGAGTCACCAGTAAGAAACAGCAAGCTAACTAACCAGCTCCTGCCAATGGTTATCCAGACAATCAGCATGTAGGACCATTGGGCCTGTGGTTAGCCTTGCACCTGTGCAAAATCATCTGCTTGCTTGCAACCCATCAACACCACATTTCTAGGCTTTTTTATGCTTCTTCTTTTCATTTCCAGTGCTACTGTACTTCATGGCTGAAATCTGTGGAATCAGTTTTTTGCCCATGCATTCACTCAGTAAACTAGTTACATATTTAGCCAGTTGACCTCAATCAAAATGAATATTGTGTCAGAATTCAACCATAATAACACAATCACATTTTGCTAATATCCTGCAGCCCGATGGCACCTTTTTATACCATTAAAAGCCAATGGGAATGGAGTATGTACGTTAATATGGCTTTTTCAAAAGCTTTGACCTTTTGCTACTGATTTCAGTTCTATTGACATTTTTCTTTGCAGAATGATCATATCAGAAATTAATAACAGCATTCAAAACTCTCTTATCAAGCCTCCTTGAAATGAGCAGACAGCTGTTTATTAAAGGAAAAGAGGGAAAGTAACACTATATGAGAGAGAGGCGAGTCGGTCTGAACGAGGGTTTTTTTTTTTACATGTTTAATATTTTCATCCATGCTTGCGTCCTTCATTAGCGATTAGCTCAGCTAGCTTGGGCAACACTACTAAAGCAGCAGCCTCTAATTATCTGTTGATACGGTTACAGCTGAAGGACGCAGAAATTTCTTGCCAATAACATGTCTTGTAAATGGGAATTTAAAAGAAATGTGATAAAGAAATTAAACTTTGAAAAAACTCTTAATTAAAAAAAAAGATTTTGAGAGTGACTGCCGCTTTTTATCAGATGTCAAATTTGTTTTTTTTTGTATCTTTTCCTTTTTTGTTTCACAAAAAAAATCTGTATGAGATATTATTTTATGAACTACATTATTTTTAAACTGTAAAATCTGATAAAACAACAAAGTTACTTTCAAATCTTTTTTATCAGTAAGCTTTTTAAATTTTGCATCTTTTAAATTTCCATATATAAAAATGTGTTTGCTTGCAACACAATGAAAACAAAAATTTAAAGTCGTAGGGAAGTCATTTTTTAATGTCAAATCATTCTGGCTTAAACATGTATATAAATGTACTCTTTATCAGACGATATTGTCCCAAAATCCTGTCTTAAAATCGGTGAGGGTTTTTTCTTTATCGTATGCAGGCCAGGTAGTTATACATCAGCTTGTATACCTAAATTCAGCCAATCATATATCAAAGGTCATCTATCAATCAAGTTTTTTCGGTCATAGCATCTTGATTCATATGTCGCAGCTAATAAACGCAACGGTTGAAATGAAAAATAAGAATCGTTTACTTTCCCATTGAGTTCCATCCCAGTGTTCACGGGGATGGACGTATGTGTCTTCAGCAGGCGTAGAGCTAACTGAACTGCCAGCGTTGTGAGGCAAGGGCTCAAACATGTACGGCTGTAAGCCTTCTACACCAAATCAAGCTTCTGCCGCCATGGCGTCCTCTTCCACTACATCTAAATCCCCGCTTTCCTCCTCTAAATAAAAAATCTATGATGGAGGAGACTTATACACGACCTCCAACACAAAACTCTCCTCTTCTTGCATGTTTCCTCTGTCCATAGCGTTCCTTGACAGTGTCGTTTCTAAGTCACCAATTTAGTGCTACTTGCTCCCAATGGAATTTCCCATTGGGAACCTACTAGCACTAAATTGCTAACCGGTTAGCAAGATTCCTCCGACAAATCGGCCACAACCAACCTTGCTTGCGAACCTTCGACTACAACAATCCCGCCCCTTGATAATCGACCAATCACATTCACTTTATTCACTCGTGTAAAGTCGGGCACCACTCAGGAAAATTCGGAAATGCAACGGTTGGAACAGCCACTTCCCTACGACTTTAATAGATAACAGAAAGAGGTTGTAAACTCAAAAGGATTAACATGGCTGACTTTATTCTGCTCTGTTCAGCCTTCCTGTTATCTGCTGAAAAAGTCTCTCTCTCTCACCCTTGCAGCTTAAGTTAAATGTTAGTTAAATGTCATGTTAGAGTAAATACAATAGTTTTAAAATTTAGCATCTTGCCTACACTGAAACCAGCATTTTTTTCTTCCTTTAGTCAGAACATCCACACAAAACAGTTCTAGTCCAAACTGTTGAGCACTTATAGATGGTTCTTTCACCTCCAGATGAGAAGGAAAGCCTCAGTCGCAGACAGGCACGACTCAAATCTGTAAACGTCACCCCTCCAGCTCCTTAGCTTGCTTGTCTCCAAAAGATAAAACTTGGTCTTGTGCAGGAAAAAAATCGAAAAGCAGCCCTTACTGCTGCTGGTTTACAGTCTATTTTCTAAATTCCACCTTTTCAGTGGTGTCATGGGAGGTGGAGGCAGATAAGGGAGGTATCAGCAGCAACAGGAGCTTAATGAAATTTCTGACTTCATCACCAGGACCAATAAAAGCAGGTACAAGCCTTTAAATGAAGGTGATCTAATAGCACGATAAGTCTGTAAGTCTTCCAATTACATTAAAGAGTGTAGATAGTGATTATGAACATGCGCGCTGTCAGCTCCACCGTCCTCCACAGTTAAAAGATGCTCCCTATTTCCCTCTCAGAGCTTAGTTTTTAATAATCAGTATGGTAATTGTGTTTTACTGTAGCAACATAGGCAGAAAATCACATTAAAAGAAGAGAGTAAGGGAAAGACTTGTGGGGGTGGATGGAAAGACACAAGGGATGAGCTGAGACTAGCTGTGCAGCTCCGAACAGAGACCCTATAGATTGTGGCTTTCAGCTAATTCTCTCCTACATCAGTTGTAAGAGCTGGAGGATGAGGGGGAGGGGTGGGGGGGTACAGTATGTCTCGCTCAGAGTAAAACCCACATGATGCATACAGATACATCTTTTTTTTTTTGCTTCTCTGGGAGTAATCATCATATCAAAGGCTGCACAGGCAGAGTAATGAAATCCAAACTTTCAAAGGTATAGATAGAAGAGAAATAAAAATCTACTCCTCTTATTTAATGCCAACAGTCAGCAAATGAGGTTGGGTTAAGAGGCGCTATTCGCAGCTGCTCATCCGTTAAGTTTTTTCTTTTCATCTTTTCCTAATAGCACCATCTGCCTGGTGCATGGACGTCTTAGACGGCTTCCTATTTGCATTCACTTCATTGCCTCAGCTGTGTTATTGTAGAATCCACGGTATATATTACCGCATGCATTCCTCACATTTTCTTCTGTGCTTATTCTATGCTCTTTTCTTCTGTAATTATGAATGTTGCTACGGTATCTGCTCTGCATGCCTCTGTGTGCACAAACACACACTAGCCTTCCCTCCTAATAACTCTCTACTTCCCTATTTTCTTTCCTTCTCTATGATGTGCTGTCTGGATATCAGAAATCACGCAAGGTAATGAGACAAGTCCCAGTCACACCTTTGCCCTCTTTCATTTGAGCCGCTCACCACGTCCTCTTCACACACCCCCACCCCCAATCTCTTCAGAAAAGCAATGAAAAAGAAAATTCTTCAGAGCTGCGGGCTTTGAAAGTACCACTTCTGTGTGAAAACTTTGGCATTTCATAAGCTCATACGTGTGCGGCGAAGAGGAGATGCTCTTGAAGAGCAAGGTTTGGCTTTCACCTCACTCCATCTGCTGCGGGGGTGGGAGGGGGGCGGTAAGGAAGAGAAAAAAAAGCAGGCAGTCATCCTTGAGATGGCCATTGTTTAAAGCAACAAAGAGACATTTTCATTAGTGCGGTGTGGGCATGACGGCGGTGCTGCTCGCCTGGTGAAAAAGTGAGAATGAGGAGGATGTATACCGAAGTGGATGCTGAGGTGCTAAGCCAAGCCCGCCTTGTTCTTCTCTCATCTGCTCTCACTTCTGTTGCACACAGGAACAGCTCCCCCATAGTTGCATGAAAGTGGCTCACTCTTTGACCCACTCACCTGCAAACAAAAACACACTGGAACTTCACCCTGCATCACCATAACACACCATGCATCAAACTCCTCCATTTTCCAAATGATCAGCTGTTTTAAAAACAAACCACCACTTCTAATTCATTTCATTGAGAGTCACATGAAGTCACACAAACTGTAGATCGCAGATTGAAAAGGAGTGTGTTCAGCTATTAAAGCGCCCTACGAAACGACCGATGACTGAATGAATGACTGAAATTTATTGCAGACAATTATCAAATCATAAAAATAATAATAGATAAATTAATTTCTGAAAATATTGCAAACAAAAAACCTTGTCCCACTCACACACACAAAATGATTATGGTTAGGTTGAACATTAAAATAAATTACATTTTCAGTTCCAAATAACTTCAATAAATTTCAACCATACTCAGAAGCTAATAAAATAAAGAAAATGTTCCACTTAAAAAACTTGCTAGTATATGTGGCCTGAGATCTGACACTGATTATTGATTCATATATGATCATTAATTAATGTAAATTGTCTGAAAAGGGGTTATTTTACATACCCCTCCTTCCTCTAATTGCAATAAAAGTAACTTAATTGACTTTACTGTTTAACTTCTCTGTTTTGGATTCGAAATTCACAAAAAAAATATAAAATTGTATACATACATACATCCACATTCATGCATCCAAATAATAATTATAATATTAACCCTTAGCAATCGCAAACCTTGATCTAGTTTATTAAGGAACTTATATGATAGACTATAGAAAAGTAGTGAAATATGGTGAATATGTTCACAAGGTTTGTTATATTTGATGGGAATTTGGATGGCAGTGAATACAGGATAAAACCTCAGCAGATGCGTGATTATTCTGTAATGATCTCAGAATGTAGGACCCAGAATTTGAGGCGAGACAGCAGTAGCAAAGTCACTGACCTGATTCAAAGTTCAGTCCGTTCGCGGAGCTTTGACCGCTGTTGCGGCGGGCGATGCCCCCAGAGTTCCTAGAGAGCGAGCAGCAGACGCCGAGCAGCAACGGTCCAGAAGGGAAATCCAAGGCCGAAGTCAGAAGACAGTTCCAGGTTCAGAAGCCGGTAGAATCCAGGATCAGACAGGACAAACAGAGCAGACAGGGTCAAGGCAAAAACTCGAAATCCTCAGGGCAGAAACTGGTCAATATCAGGAAAACAGGCAGACTACAGATTGCTAGGGAACGTATCATAAAAACACAAGAATAACCTGGCGCTGATGGGAGGCAAACACACAACTTAAATAGTAGAGGAACCAGGTGAAAATGATCGGCGATAATCAGCCGCAGAACCAATTAGGCAGGGAGCAAGGAGCAAAGGAAAAAACCAAACCATCAGCGCCAAGATCATGACATATTCAGAGCTAGGATGGGTAATCATTTCTCAAAGAGGCCACATTAAAGTCCAGATATTATACTGGACTATATATAACATAGTATAATAGAACACAGATACTTTCTGTGCTAAAAAGTCAGTTTAAGTTTCAGTTGGTAGACAGACTTAGAAGTATAAGCGAAAGGCTGCAAAGTGTTTACTGAATAGAGTTGAATTGAACGCAGCCCAAATTTGTTAAATGTTTTGTTTTTAACGATAGTGAAACCAGCAAATCATGTTGCTTCTCCTTCACCATTATTCACTACTTTGTGTCGGTCTATGACTGTTCATTTCAGAACCAGACAATTTTCATATGGGTGGCCAAAAATGGGGCGGTGCCAGAAACAGTTCAGGGTCAAATCTGGCCTTTAATAACAAAAAACAAAACAAAACATCAGTATTTCTAAAGTAAATCATTAAAGACAGAATAGATATTCCTAAAGCCCTCAATAATAAATATGCACACAGATTTACAGATGTAGATTACAGCTTACAGATGTTCCAATTTCAGAGGATCATCTTATCTACTGGTTTTCTCAACAGCCAGTTGTCATATTATTGTTAAAATGTAAAGTTAGGACATTTCACATTAGAGTCACGATTGGCTTAGGGTAGCTATGGTGATTAAAAGAAGGATCTATGTATCAGGCATTCACTAGCTGTGTCACATCATCCCTACATTTGGTGGGAACTTTTTGGCTGATTCTGGACGTATGGGTCCAGCTGCTTTAGCCTGGATCTCTGCCCCGTCTCTGCTGGAAGCGGTTAAAGGTGTTCAGACACAAGCTCACCGTCTCTGGCTCAGGCCAAGCTCCGCTGCCTCCTGCCATCCAAAACCCCGTCCTAAACGAAAACGCCAGCTTCCCTTTTTATCTCTCCTCTTCCATCATCATTTCCCATCGTGCCCTCTCTCCTCCTCGGCGTCACCTTCTTTCTAACCCAAATCAGTGGTCCCAACTGTTTGGTGGAATGAATCGGACTTCATGGCCGCCTGACAAGCAAATGAATGGCAATTAATTCGACTCCACAGTCATCTGTTGGAAAGGTCGCCACTTCTAATCAGCTATTCATTAGAGAGGTCTGCAAAAATCTACCCATATCACAGCCGCTGCCTTCTCTTGATTTTCTTTTGTTGTCCATTTTCTGGTTCACAGAGGATAATTGATCACTCTCACTGGGAGACGCACGAGTCACTTATTTTGTGTCAAGTGTTTTAGCATTAATGGAAAGCCTGATGGCGCTGGCAGCTGGAAAAGTCCCCGGCTGGTTAGAGATCTTTGTGTCTGGGGCATAGATGCAAGCAGGCCATTGTAAAAGTACACATACCTTCGAATTTAAACCAGATGTTCTTATATACAGCTATAAATCTTTAAGTTTCATTAAGGTGCATTAGTTATAGACCGATGCAAAGAAGGGGGAAATGGATGGAGAATTGTAAGCTGTTTTTTTTTTTTTCTAACAAATTAAATATGAGTAATAATCAGAGAAACAGGAAGAGAAAAAAAGCACTGGTAGGAGAGCCTAACAGCCGATATTAAGAAATGGATGAAGTTCTGTTCCTTAAATTAAACAAAAATTTAACTTTTTGGTAGAAAACTGGGAGCGAACCTGCTGCCCCCCTCTGCCAAACACAGTGGTGGCAGCAACATGCTGTGGGGATTCTTTTATTTCTCAGTCCTGCTACATATTCTTTATTACGTATCCTTTTACTTCCACAATGCAGGTAAAATACTCAGCCTTGTGTTGATTTGTTCGGTATATTACTATAAAGTTTGGCTAAATGTGAGGAAACGGTTTGTGAATACTTTAACATTCATACGCTACATGTTAAAAGCCTTTAAATAGTTTTTCCTAGAAATAGCAAAACTCCTGGCTGGCTGGGGAAAGGATTGAAATGGAAAGGAAGCTTCCTTTTCAGGTCGGTCTCACTCTCTGAAACCTTTGTTGTGTCCTGTCTCATCAGAACAAGCACACTGAACTCAACCTGAAAGAGTCTCTCTTTGTTGGCGGAGCTCCCGATTACAGCAAGCTAGCGAGAGCTGCTGCGCTCGAGCAGGGATTCAAGGGAACCATCCAAAAGGTAAAAAAAAAAAGCTTTACTGTTCTCAGCAGAATGCCAATCCTGCGGATGGCAGTGACTCAGGCCTCTTGAGCCTTGCAATACAGTGCGGCGAGTTTTCAGCTGCCCTAATGTCCGACTATAGACCCTGGTTTTAGTAATTTTCCATCATAGGCTCACGCTGTGATGAGAAGTGGCTCTGCTCATTAGGAATTAACTCACGCTAATTTTAGAACGTGTATTTTGAAGTCCCTCCATTTTGCTGCTCTCAGATCTTTCCCTGACAAATTTCCAGTTTTTTTTCTTCGCTCCCCCCTCTGCTTTTTAGCAAACAGCTCATCTCTAAGCGCCCAAAATAACTCAGTAAAAAACAAAGGGGCTGGATGGAAATGTTTGCAAGAACTTGTCAGGAGTTCTTGATGACGACCTCCTCCCCCTCCTTCCTGGCGGTTTTTAGACAATCTGAGGCAAAATGTTGCATTTGTCGTACTTTGCCTCTTGGGGATTGTTAATTATGTGGAAGACAGTATGTATTTGAGTTTTGATGTGCTGTTTAATTGGTGCTTTGCTATGAGAGCTGTTGTCTAAGACACATGGAATCTGCAGCTTTGCTGTAACATTAGATCCTAGGATGTGTTCAGTCATTAAGTTTAATGATCCTTCAACTGAAAACTCAATGGCCTTTAAATGGATTCTTTCCAATCAAAAGCTGAATGAGAAAAATAAGAAAAAATAATTTTGCCCTGGGCCTGTACTGGAAGAAAAATCTGATCACTTTGACTGTGGATTAAGTTAAACTAAACTGATGAAAAGACAAAAACACAACTCTAAGCCAGCCTAAATAGTTTGATAAACTCAAGTACAATGCAGAAAATTAAGTCTAAGGAAGTAATTATCTTTAAATAAATTCATTTTCCCTTAATTTGAAGAAACAAGTATTTTACCAAAGAAATAACATAACATAAAAAAACATCCTGATCTTATTTCATTTAATTATTTTATTTTAAAAACAAAAACACTTATTCTATTGGTAAAATATGTTATTTATCTACTAAAATGAGGTGCAAATTTAGCTGCAGTGTAGTTCATTAGCATATGTTTTATCTTTTTCTTTTGTCAAAGCCTGTATCTTTAAAGCAAGCTATATGTGAGCTTAAAGCTTTATATGCTGCGACCTCTCAGATATAAATGTATATGCAGTATATATTCCCCCCCTCTGTCTGCAGTAAACATGTTTTCTCTCTATTTGCTTTTTAACCTCCTGCTAACCCTGCCGTCCCCTGCAGAGAAACGGCCTATATTTGTCCCAGAAATCGCCTACTGCATCTAAATATTTTGAAAGTTTCCAAACTTTGCAAATCCACTGAGGAAGACTGCCTTGTACTCCTAAAAGTAAATAAAGCTGTCTCTCTTTGCTGCTATAAATTGGACCAACCTGCAGATTAACATTATAGAACAACAAAGAATTATCAAAGGTCTTCTTTTTCTTTACTTGAGTCAGTTATTCTACAGTTCGTAAGGGGGTAAACATTAAAACTTCTGAGCTAAGGAGTGAATAGTTTGAGGATCAATGTTTGCCCCTTTGTACATGTTTGTTTAACTCAAGACTAGATGAATCAGCTTAATTTATTCAGCATTATTCAGTGGAAGGTAGTTCAAAGATCAGTGCATGAGAAACTAAAGTAAAGTACATATCGATGGCATAGAGGCAACACAAGAAAAATTAGAATGAGACTGAATCATTAAAATTAGACAAAAAAAAGATCAAATGATTAAAAAGTTTAAACAGAAGTCTAGTCTGAGACTAAGGCTTAAAGCACAGCTTGGCACCACAAACATTCAAGATTCAATAAGGGCTTTAAATTTAGATCATTAGACATAATTTAGGTTGAAGGTGGGCATGTGTGAGATTTTTGATCAGGATTAGTTAAATTTAGATATATAAGGAGGAGCATACACTAATGTCAGCCATTTAAAAACGTAACTGTTTTTCTTGTATGAATTAATGGTAAAACAACGTTTCCCTTTACTTCAGGGTTTCAGTTTCTTTAAATATCTCAAGCCAGTGTTTTAACCCAAAGCCTGACTTCTGCTCCTTAAAACAGTGAGTCTCATCCCTAACTAAATCTTTCCTTCCTCCTTCCAGATTATGCTGATGAGCACCCCCATCCTCAGGGAGGAGAACGCCCTGAACTCCAGCAACGTAGCCATGTTCCGTGACCACCCGTGTTTCCGGGAGCCATGTCAGAACGGCGGCCGCTGCAATCCTCAGCTGGGCGGCTACGAGTGCTCTTGCCAAACCGGTTTCTCAGGGGACAGCTGTCAAAACAGTGAGTCTCTGTTTCGTGTGCAACCTTTGAATATTTCTGCTGATTTTTTAAAGAAGACTTTGACAGTAATGACTGGACTGAGATCACTACATCCAGGCATGCCCAAAGTCGGTCCTCGAGGGCCGCTGTCCTGAAGGTTTAAAAGGTCTCCCTGCTTCAGCTGTGCTAAAGCAGGCAAACCTCTAAAACCTACAGGATGGCGGCCATCGAGTACCGACTTTGGACGTGCTTGAAATCATTGCCATGTGTCATAAAACACACTTCCATCTCTGCACACAGGACTGTTATAGGTTCCTAAGCTTTTCTTAGTGAGGCCTGTGGAGTTAGGAAGCTGAGACAGAGGCATTTCTTGCAAGAAAAAAGGTTCAAATTTATTTAATGTCCTCAGATGGAGAGATAGAGCTTTGGCTAAGGCAACCTCAGTACATACATTTATACCTTAAAAATTCCAACACACACACTCCCCCCAGGGGAACCAACCCACCCCCTGCATACAGAACTTTCTGACACTTGAATATTTAGAGGAAAAACAACTTGAGTTCATCAGGGCCATTCCCTGTTAGGTTAATATATCTTTCACTGGCCGGATGGATCTTCTCAAAACCACAGTCCTCCCCTTCATGCCATGAAGAAAGGAAACTGTGTAACTCATTCTTATCATGATCTTCGCTAAGAACAGACATATCTCAACATTTTTTACTCCAGAGTCCCGCTTTAATTTTCCAACAAAAATAACCATGTTACAGTGAAGTGAAGTGCATTTTCAATAATAAGAATAACATTTATAAAGTGTAATTTTTAAAAATGTCATATTTATTTCACTGTGTAACATGCCACCCCCCAGGGTGGCATGTCCTCCACTTTGGAAACCACTGCTGTAAATGTATAGTGCTAAGAAAATCTTTTCAGATTTCTATTGTTTTCAGTTTTAATGCAATTATTAAAGTAATTTAAATATCAGACAACGTTAAATACAAAACCAAGTTTCAAAGAAAAGAAAAAAATAAAAGCTATGGATTTAAGTCCAGGTTTAGTTTTATTAATCACACTGAGGCCACATTATTGCCAAACCTGTAGAATCACTAAATTATTTGAATAGTACCTGACCGACAGCATGAAGCAGGCAGACAAAAAGTCTACAAGCAAAACTCTGGACTTTAATGTTAAGAAAATCCAAGAAGAAATAAAGAACAAAGTGATGTCTTTATTGGGGGGGTAGAGTTGCAGATGCACAGCAGGTGGAGTAACTTTTTTGCACCCCTCCACCCCAACCACTGCTGAAAATACATCAGGCATAGAAACATCTGCAATGTGATTAAAGTGGAGAATCTGTAAGTGAACATGTGCGTTAAAACGCCATCCTCCATCCCCCCCTGTCCGTCAGACCCCTCTGATCTTTTTCTATAAGCTAATATCAGCATTACTCATGATGTCTCTTTTATGTCGGCGCCGTCGTTCGCTCATATCAAAGTAATAGATCTGGCATGAAAGCGATTAAAAGTGGCAGCTGAATATTCATGAAACGAAGGGGTTGCTCGTCCCTTTCATCATCTTCATGTACGCCTGCGAGTCATACGCCCGCCCTGTCTCCCACACTCAACTCGCTTTTTCTGCCATTAACCTTGCGCCGTGCGGTCGGCCGTCCCCTTCACGTTAATTAAAACGCAGTAGCCCCCCCCCCCCATCCGTCGCCTGCAGCTCTGATAGCCAATCCTCATATATTGATTGGTCTGATCTCATCCTCCAAAACGCTTCTCTTTACAGCCATCCACGAGAAGTCCGCCGGAGAGACCGAGGCCATCGCCTTCGACGGGCGGACGTTCATCGAGTATCACAACGCCGTCACCAGGAGGTAAGGAAGAGGAGGAGGGGCGCTCAGCTTCATCTCCAGAGTAACAGCTATTAGCCAAATAACCCCTCTTGTCTATCTATCCATCTCCTCCCATGGTAAGCGTGATGGGATCATCAGCAGTAGGGCTTCAGGGAAAACGAAGAGCCTCTCTAATGGCTCCGTCTCTCTGTCTGTTGCAATGCTGCCTTGCTTTTGACAGGATTTCACTAATTAGCCAGACTCTTAGCAATCATGGCCCTGAGCGCTCAGCTCACTCTGTGGTCCGCTGACGCCGGACAACAAGAACACACAAACTTCCTCTCCTGATTTGAATGTATAAAAGATAATTGTTTTATCTGACGGGTTAAGATTTGTCAGCTGGGATTTTTAACCTAAAGGAGAGAAAAGAGATGAATTTCTGTGACAAAACAACCCAAAGAAACGCTTTTCCCCGCAGGGCTGCAGATGATAAAGTTTTTCCGTTGTGTTTTTCCTTCAACTATTTCATCCATCTGTAAGGCTGGCAGGTGTGTGCCTCCAGGATTGCATAAACAAAAAGAAAATGTTGAAGTGATGAACCTGAAGAGGCATGAGGCATATGGTCGCGCATCTCACGGCTCTTCACACAAACACTGTGAGGTGTGAAAAGTGGGCCACAGCCTGCAGATCGTCACTCACTCCAAACCTGCAGCCGCTTCCCAACAACTGCCGGTGTTCTGTCAGTTCAGCATACCCCGTCAGACCAGCATACCCATAGTCAGTACGCATGCGCTACACCTCAGATTTGCATCAACTGACACTAAGTGGAAGGAAATCTACTACAGTGGAAAAAATCTAAATCTAGATAAGTAATTTTTTCTTACAATAAGTGCATTTGTTCTTGAATTGAGGAGGTAAAAGAGACATTTTGCGGTGGAACAAGACAATTTACATTTAAAATAAGAAAACAATTGAATTGTCTTATTTCAAGTGCATGTTATCTAATTATCTTATTTGAAGAGTAAAAATACTCATTCCATCTCATTTACCTACTCAAATTAAGGGTAAATACGCTTAATTTAAAGGATTTTTACTTATTTCTGCATAATTTGTCCAGTGTAGGCTACTTTATTAATGCTTGATCTGATAAACAAAAAGTTGTAGTTGAAGGTAAACACACAAACTTACCAGAAAAGCATACCGAAAGTCTAGTAAGTAAGTAAGTAAGTAAACTTTATTTGTATAGTACCTTTCACAGACGAAGTCACAAAGTGCTTCACATGATAACATAAAAACACAAGTAGTAGTAGACTAGTTTATTTATGCGTGATGTAATAAATAAAAGGTTCAGGCCTCGCTTTCTGTGTTTGTTACTTCACACCCCGACGTAGCAGCTAACCTGTCTCATTATGGAGTTAGAAAGGGGTCAAAATGTTTGTAAACTTAGAAATCTGAAATGAAACTGAAAAAATAAAAGTTAAAACACAAAAAATTTAAGTTTCTATTGAATGTCAAATTTTTACCTCATAGTCTGAGAAACTAAAAAAAGCATACATAAAATAATAAGAATTGAATCTAATTTCTTCCCCCAGCTTGAAAAAAACTCATAACTCTGTTTAGTATTTTTAATTAAACCTTTTCTTTTTTCTTTCTTTTCTTTAATTTTAGATTTGATATTTTCAAATTCAAATCCCCTTTTTTCAGTTTCTATTTTTGAGATTCAATATGCTTTTTTTAGTTTCACGATTTTCCTTTTTACACTTTCAAATCAGTTTTTTTCACCTTCAGATTTTGTCCCCACTCTGATTGGAGTGGGGGGCAGGAAAATGTGATTGACAGCTTGCAGCAGCTGGAGTGATGTCTCTTTCCATGTTGCATTCAAGGACTGTGGGAACTCCAACTACTTGAGCAAGTTTGAAAGTGCAAAAAAAATAAAAAATCCTGAAACTAAAAAAGCAATTTGAAACAAACAAAAAAAGAAACTGAAAGATATGGATTTGAATCTGAAAATGTAAAACTGCAATAAAGAAAAGAAATAAAAAAGCAAAAGTGTAATTAGAGTACTAAACTGAATTTAGAAAATTTTACTTAAATATCAATTAAGATTTAGAAGTTTACAAACATTTTGACCCCTTTCTGACTCAATGATTGTCGTACTGATCTGCAAATGTAACAGAAGTTGCTTAAATTTCCCTTTCTGCATGCATATTACTATGGGTATGCTGGTCTGACGGGGTATGCTGGTCAGACGGGGTATGCTGATCTGACAGAACAGCGGGGCGTCTTCTGTCCGACGTTTGTGTCTAAATGTGCAGCTTTTCCTGTTCTGTGTCGGCGTGCCTTTGTTCCTGTCCCCCAGTCTGACGTCCACTTCCTGTCTGTGTCTCATATAAATGTCCTTCACTGTCTCTCCTTTTCACTCAAGCCAACTGACCAATGAGATCCCAGAGTAAGTAGACTCAGAAACTGGCTGTTTCCTCCAGTTTCTAATCAAGCCCAACTAACCCACAGCAGTCAAATCCATTTTTTCCCAATAGTTAACCCAAGCCACAAGATTAAAGTGCATTCAGCTTTCATGGAGAAATCATCAAGTCCGATTTTACACGCAGGCACCATCCTCATAATTTAATTTGACGCATTTCATTATTTTTGAATACATTTGCAGCCAGTCTTTATTTTTCAGTAAAGAGGGAAGCATGAATGTTTGCATGATAAGCTTTGTGCTCAACCGCAGAAAAATGAATTGCTGTACCGAGATTGTGCAATAATTTATGCATGGTTGTAAGTCGTTCATAAACAGAATGAATTGCGGTGCACTTTACACTGAATAGCATTAGGTGGGAAATGAATGAGACCCTTGAAAGCGGCCATATAAAGTCAGATAGGGAGGTGTGCTAAAGCGGCTCAACTACTTCACATTTTTTCATGTTAAAACCACAAACTGGAAATGTTTTAAAGATGCATTTTATGAAATAGACTAAAACAAGATGGCGCACATATGTGAAGAAAAAGTAAAAAGATACATGTACATGTTGTTTTGTTTTTTTCACAACACAAGTGAGCTTTAGATTGCTACCCCCTTCCCCCGCATGTCAGTACTGTATAGAAACACTTTTAGCAGCTATTAAACTTTAGATATTTTATGTAGAGATTGAAAAATCAGCTTTATCCCAGATTCTCATTTTCTATTTCTTTCTATATTTCTATTTAATCTCAGGTTATATTCCTTCTGGATTGTCCCGTATTGAACTCCATCTTTTTTTTTTTTTATAACTCCAGCCTGCTTTCCTGTTTCTGCCAGAAGTATGATGCTGCCACCACCATGTTTAACTTTGGGAACGGGTCATTTAGGGCAATGCTGGCCTTCCAGCTGCTTACATCTTTTACCAGAGAGTTTGATATCCAACGCTAATGATCAGAGCATCTCCACATGATTACTGTGGCTTCATACAAAATGCAACATCCTCTGGCTTTTTTCTGGTTCCACCAGCATTAAATTCAGATTTCTGAATTTTTGCAGCTCTTTTACGGTTAGCATGAGCCTCTTGGCCACTTCTCTGATCATCCTAGTGTTGGTTAAAAGGGACGATCCTGCCTTTGCAGCTCTTCAGCCGTCCCTCATTCCTTACATTTTCTGTGTATATTGTTTTGTAACTGCTTTTAAATACTCACCATAGAGCAGAATAGAAAATAAAATTCTTTATATTCCCACAGTGGGAAGATCCAGGTGTGTTAGAGGAGAAAAAATAGACAAATGAAGGCAAGCACTCACCTCAGACTATGAAATATTAAAAGGTTAAAAACTAGGCTGAATACAGCAGGACATAAACCATTAGACACTGCAAAGGAAACTTGGATACACACTGCAAAAAATCTAAATCTAAGGAAGTCATTTTTTTCTTGAAATAAGTGCAGTTTTCTTGAATTGAGCTGGTAAGTGAGACACTTTCCCAATGTAACAAGACAGTTTACATTTAAATTAAGAAAAAAACTATCGCAGTCTGTTATTTCAAGTGCATTATATCTAATTATTTTATTTTACGGTTAAAAATGCTCATTCCATTGACAAGCCATGTTATTTTCCTATTTAAATTAAGGATAAATAGACTTAGTTTAGGACACTTTTACGCATTTGCAGAACATTTTTGAAGTGCATACCAGTCGACTTATTTAAAAAAATAAATAAATAAAAGCACTGTGCAAATAACAGCATGCACTGTAAAAACGATCTACAGATGAGTAAAAATTTCATAGATTAAGTTTATTTAACCATAATTTGAGTAGATAAATTAGATAGTTTGCCAATGGAATTAGTATTTTTACTCTTAAAATAAAACAATTAGATAACATGCACTTGACAATGCAATTGTGTTTTCTTATTTTAAATGTAAATTGTCTTTTTCCATTGGCAAAATGTCTCTTTTACCTCTTCAATACAAAAACAAATGCACTTATTTTAAGAAAAAATTACTTACCTAGATTTTGATAATTTCCAGTGTGGCTGTAGAAGGCACTCATGCAGAAGGTACACTGCAAGAAATATCTAGAAATAAGTCAACATTTGTTCAATTAAGTGTATTTACCCTTAATTTGAGCAGGTAAATAAGATGATTTATCAATGGGTATTTTTACTCTTAAAATAAGATAACTAGATAAAATGCACTTGTAATAAAACAATGCAGTTGATTTTTCTTATTTTAAAGTAACTTATCTTGTTCCAATGGCAAAGTGTCTCATTTACCTTCTTTATTTAAGAACAAATACACTTGTTTTAAGAAAAATGACATATAGATTTCCATTTTTTTCAGTGTAAATCAGCATTTCTACTTCAATAAAAAAACACACTCGATTAACTATATACAGGTGCTGGTCATAAAATTAGAATATCATGAAAAAGTAGATTGATTTCAGTAATTCCATTTAAAAAGTGAAACTTGTATATTATATTCATACATTACATACAGATTCATATATTTCAGATGTTTATTTTGTTTAATTTTGATGATTACAAATGACAACAAATGAAAATCTCAAATTCATCATATCAGAAAATTAGAATATTGTGAAAAGGTTCAAAATTGATGGCCCCTGGTGCCACACTCTAATCAGCTAATTAACTCAAACCACCTGCAAAAGCCTTTAAATGGTCTTTCAGTCTAGTTCTATAGGCTACACAATCATGGGGAAGACTGCTGACTTGACAGTTGTCCAAAAGACGACCATCGACACCTTGCACAAGGAGGGCAAGACACAAAAGGTCATCGCTAAAGAGGCTGGCTGTTCACAGAGCTCAGTGTCCAAGCACATTAATAGAGAGGCGAAGGGAAGGAAAAGATGTGGTCTAAAAAAGTGTACAAGCAAGAGAGATAACCACACCCTGGAGAGGATTGTGAAACAAAACCCATTCAAAAATGTGGGGGAGATTCACTAAGAGTGGACTGCAGCTGGAGTGAGTGCTTCAAGAACCACCACACACAGACGTATGAAAGACATGGGTTTCTGCTGTCGCATTCCTTGTGTCAAGCCACTCTTGAACCACAGACAGCGTCAGAAGCGTCTAAAGAGAAACAGGACTGGACTGCTGGTGAGTGGTCCAAAGTCATGTTCTCTGATGAAAGTAAATTTTGCATTTCCTTTGGAAATCAAGGTCCCAGAGTCTGGAGGAAAAGAAGAGAGGCACTTCATCCACGTTGCTTGAAGTCCAGTGTAAAGTTTCCACAGTCAGTGATGGTTTGGGGTGCCATGTCATCTGCTGGTGTTGGTCCATTGTGTTTTCTGAGGTCCAGGGTCAACGCAGCCACATACCAGGAAGTTTTAGAGCACTTCATGCTTCCTGCAGCTGACCAACTTTTTGGAGATGCAGATTTCATTTTCCAACAGGACTTGGCACCTGCACACAGTGCCAAAGCTACCAGTACCTGGTTGAAGGACCATGGTATCCCTGTTCTTAATTGGCCAGCAAACTCTCCTGACCTTAACCCCATAGATTTTCTATGGGGTATTGTGAAGAAGAAGATGCAATACACCAGACCCAACAATTCAGAAGAGCTAAAAGCCACTATTAGAGCAACCTGGGCTATCATAACACCTGAGCAGTGCCACAGACTGATCGACTCCATGCCACGCCGCATTGCTGCAGTAATACAGGCCAAAGGAGGCCCAACTAAATACTGAGTGCTGTACATGCTCATACTTTCCATGTTCATACTTTTCAGTTGGCCAACATTTCTATAAATCCTTTGTTTTTATTGGTCTTCAGTAATATTCTAATTTTCTGATATGATGAATTTGAGATTTTCATTTGTTGTCATTTGTAATCATCAAAATTAAACAAAATAAACATCTGAAATATATGAGTTTGTATGTAATGTATGAATATAATATACAAGTTTCACTTTTTAAATGGAATTACTGAAATCAATCTACTTTTTCATGATATTCTAATTTTATGACCAGCACCTGTAAGTGATGGATAAAGGCTCCTGCTTCCTCTGGAATCAAACATTATGTAATTGTATATGTTTTAGTCTTTTACATAAAATCCCCCAAAAATACTTTGAAATGAGTGGTTTTAACCCTGAAAAAATGTTTAAAAGGCATTTATTTACCTTTTCCCGGTTGAGAGCTAAACAGTCCTTAAGCCAGCGTGTGGAGTTAACACTTAGAGGGGGGGAGCCAGCGGGGAGGCAGAAGTCAGCTCAAATTAGGCAGACTGACACTACAATCCTCACCAGAGGTTTTGTTGCATCACTTTTTGCCAGATCTCTGACTGTAATTTTGAATAATTACAGAGCCGGCAGTTCTGAATGGCTGTGACATGTTAATCACAGATTTATCTCCCCTTTGTAGATTAGACCTCCAATTGAGAGCTCTCCACAGTGGGTACCCATAGGCATCAATCTCACTTAGCGGGAGGGACAGTAGTCCTTGGAGCCAGACTGTCAAAAGTTTAATAGATGTCACAGTCACTAAGAGCGACCACAATGGGCGTGGATCAAGGCGAATCACAGCCTTGTTGTAGCACCAATCAACTGGCCATGATTTGATTTTATAAAGATAATAACTACCTGTTTTTCAGAGGCCATTAAGTAGAGAGTAAAAAAGGCCAAAGTGTCAAACTCCCACCTTGAGGGGCCATTTCTGTCCCTTCTTCAAGTCGATTCGCTCCAGCGCCGTTATTTCAGTGACAAATGACATCTGGCCGTGACTCTCATCTGATACCATGCTTGACCCCGTTTTTTCGACAGTCGCCCAATTTTTCTCGCCCACTGCTTTCATCTCTCGACAGAAGGTAATTGCGGCGGCACCGTGGCGTGCAGCGCCATAAATATAAGAGGAGCTGCTCAATAATTGGATGCTGACTTAAAGCGAGATGTGTACCGGCGTGGACGGTGATGGTGAATGTACTTTATCTTAATGCTCACCTTCCAAAAAAAAAAAAAAAGGAGGTTGATCCCAGGATATTTTCACAGCATCCATCCTGATCTGAGGATGGAGAGGTTCTTTTTTTCTCAAGAACCTCTCTTTCATGGTTATGGTGTTATCAGGGTTAAGATGCACACTTCCTGTGATCCCACAACACTTGCTATCGACTCTTGATGTGGTCGATGCTATAGTGGAGCAGATAAGCTATGCTTTTTGCAACTCCAGGTCTCTGAGGGAGAGCACTGTGAGCTACCAAGAGGGCTCACAGCGCTCTCCCTCCCTTCCCTTCCTTCCTTCCCTTCTTCCTTGTCCTTGTTTGCGCTTACTCTGCATGCCTCTGACTCTCTCCCCCTGATCCCTTAAGTCCTGAGTCTCTGGAGAATCCATCTGACCAGAGGTGAGTTTCTCAAAAGCTTTTGAACTTTGCCCCCATTTGTTGTTTCGCACTTTTGTTTCTGCCGTTTGTACCTTTAACTTTCCTCCAGACAACCCCTCCTTGACCTCAAGCAGGCCTAAATCCTCCGCAGTGTAAAAGTAAATAAATACAAAGATCTATATGTTATAGATGTTATAGATCATTATATTAATGTACCGTTACATTAGGCATGGAAGCCAGATAAAGTTGGGCTTTGATCGATATTTTTGAAACAAGGCTGTTGTTATAGAGCATGAAACTAAATAAATATTTAAACATGGATACAAACAGGCTCAAATAAATACATCCAACGAGTGGATTAGCTCTGGTTAAAAAGCGTTTGGCAAAGAAAGCAAACGTTTTTCTTGCGATTCCTGAAGCTTCTGCATCATTTTTTAAATTAGGATTATGCTAAAAAAACCAAAAGAAAGACTAAAATGTTTTTCTTTTTTTTGCAGTAAAAACTTTAAAATATTGTGCAACACAAACCCTAATATGCTGCTTCATTTACTGCAGATACAGACTTCTTTATTTGCACAGCTTGTAAATGATGTGTATAAATCCTCCAAATAAATCTTGTATCGTGGATGTATACTGTTTAAAACTCCCACCTCTAGTTTCACTGCATTGATCGAAAACATAATTGATTCTAATAAAATCCCAGATTGCATCATTATAAAAACACATAATAATCTCTGAAGAATAAGATATGTTATTTTTGCCCCCATTTGTTGTGTCGCACTTTTTTTTCTGCTGCTCGTACCTTTAACTTTTCTCCAGACAACCGCTCCTTGACCTCAAGCAGGCCTAAATCCTCCTCAGTGTAAAAGTAATAAAATACAATATATTAATGTACCGTTACAATGGACATGGAAGCCAGATAAAGTTGGTCTTTAATCAGTATTTCTGAAACAAAGCTGTTGCTATAGAGCATGCAACTAAATAAATATTAAACATGGAAACATACAGGCTCAAATAAATACATCTAGCCAGTGGATTAGCTCTGGTTTGTTTAGCTTTTAGCAAAGGAACCAAAGTTTGTTAGCCAATCCTGAAGCTTCTGCATCATTTTTGCTCAATGTTTGTATTGAAATTCACCAACTACTGTACCATTAACTGCAAAACAGACCCTCAGCATGATGCTGCCACCACCAACAGTTCATAAAGTGTTTAAAGCCTCATTATAAATGTGTCATCTTCACATTATGTCTTCATCATAAACCTCGCCATGCTGCAGTTATCTGTTGACCTTGAGTAATCTTTAGTTTCCACACAGTGGAAAGCAAGTCTGTCCAATGCAATAATAAAAAAAAAATAAAAAAATTGAAATTAACTTTAACATATATGGTAGAAAAAAAGAGGTTTATATCCTAAAAGGATTGCAACAGGTTGCTCTGAAACACCTATATTGAATTTGAACCTCAGGTCAAATTCAGCTATTTTGTTTTTTGTTTTAGATAAATTGAAATTAGATTTTTTATAATCGCTCCAGCCTGAAAAACAAAAAAAAAGAGCAGCTCTAATTCTGCCTGATTTGACCAACATTAACGGGACATTCATGCCTGTTTTAAATGTATCTAAACTTCTAACCTGCACTGTGAAACAGAAATACACCAGCTCAGCTGCCCCGTCTCCAGCCATTGCTTTATTCTGAGCACCACTGCCACCTAGTGGGAGACAAACGGTCCGCAACCTGAAATGCCCTCTAAGGACCTGTAAGGAATAGATAATGCCCTTCCATTTCCAGAAAGTAACACCATCACTCCAGAAATCTATGAAGTGCGCAGTGGTTGTATATGAGATTCAGAGCGCCGTGTGCCAGCCTTGTTTTATTCATGATATGTTCTGCACTTTTAATAACCTTGACCTTATCACTGACAAGCTGCTTCGGCGAGATTTATTGGGCCTTGTAAACTCTTTGAGGGTTTGCCAGGAGTGGGGTTCACAGAGGCTTCATTTTTGTTTATTCACGTTTTTTTTTTGTTTTGTTTTTTTTTTTCTCTCCCCTTGAGAGAAAAAAAAACTGATGCCCTTAAATCACACTTTCTTGTTTACCTCAGCAGCTTTAGGTAAATATGTAGGGGGGGTGCGGTTTAAGCAGAGTGAGTTTTTGAAAAAGAAAAAAACTTAATTCTTGACTTTTCTATTGTGTATATCTGCTGAGGTGGACTTGGCTGTGAAATATGTTTTTTTTTTATTTAATGGTAAAATATGTCCTGGTTTAGCAGAGGTGTGATGCTTCCCTCCCACCCTGTGTTGTGTGCCCCCCCCCCCCGTATGCTTCCCTGTTCTCTGTGCTGATTACTTTGTCTTGTCGTGTATCTTGTGCAATCTCTGTGCCATCTTTGGTTCCTTTTTGCCATATAAATGTCCTCACCCTCTCTTTGTCTTTCTGCCTTTGAAAATAGCAGACTCAGTTGCAGATGAGCAAACAGTTGCACAGAAACTGTCTGTTTACATTAGGACTGTGTGTATGTTGGCTGCGTTTCTCTCAGGGAACCTCAGTAAGTGTATCTGTATGCAGGGATGGCGTTGGAGTGCACATATTCATCCACAAAGTGCTTCGGTTTCCTCCCTTAAAGCTGTGACAGTGGCACACAAACCTCTTAAGGATAGATGGAAGCCTGCTTGTCTCTGCATCCAAATCACCGCTGATGCTGCAGCAGTGAAGAGGCGGGAGATCTAACAGCTGCCTAAACAACACCCAAGCAGTGCAGCTAGTTTAAGGCTCAGTAGTATGCTAAAGCTAACAGCAAAACAGCCCCCTGCTGCTTCAAAACTCGGTCTGAATCCTGATATTCCCTTGAAACGACCAAGAAGCTCTTCAGCTTATGCTGAAAGACCAAACTTTTTTTCTTTTTTTGCAGTAAAAACTTTAAAATATTGTGCAACACAAACCCTGCTGCTTCATTTACTGCAGATACTGACTTATTTATTTGCACAGCTTTTAAATGATGTGTATAATAAATCCTCCAAATAAATCTTTTATCATGGATGTATAATGTTTTAAAATCCCACCTCTAGTTTCACTGCATTGATTCTGTTTGAAGGCATAATTGATTTTAACAAAATCCCAGATTGCATGATTATAAGAACACATAATAATCAATTTTTTTGGCAATGTGGCAATAACAATAATTGTCTTTATACCAAAAAAAGAGCCCAACAGATTTTGCTTTCACAGGTGGAGCAGTACGGCTATCGCCATAGTGCTCCACTTGATTTATGCATATAAATAGCTTTATTATAATTATACGGGGAGTTTTAAAGATTATATGGACAATGCAATACAAGTAGAACAGGAAAGGAAAAACAGAAAAAAAGGAGAAAATATGAAAGAAAGAGGAGATAAAAGAGAGACAATGATAAAATGTCTTCAGTCTGCTTCATCACCTGCAAAGAGATGTAAAAAGAAAAGCACAAGCAACGGATAAAGAATAAGAGATACAATAAAGTAGCACCTTGGTACTATCACTGAAGTATAAGTAGTATTATTTAATCTGAAATGTACACTGTGATAGCTGAAGATAAGAATATGGGCTTTCTGTATGGAGGTGAACCTCTAAGTATCTGGAGCCAAGCACCTGGAGATGTTTGTGAAAGTGCACTTGTGCATGTAAAGTTTATCCAAAGGGAAAATGCTCCAAAGAATCTATAATAATCTCTTTTTTTTATGTGTTAAATTTGATCCGACTTTCTAGGAACTCCAGATTAGTAACCCCCCATTTTCTGTTTCGATTTTATTTTTCCTAGAACCACACAGGAATAGGAAAAAAATCCTCCAAAGCTCACTATTAAAGAACTTATTTCTACTGTTCCTTTAACTTGGGTCAACACTCAGAGGAAATCTGTATATCAAGCATGAACAAGTTAAATACTAAGTTAATTAAGTATATTAAGCTCATCAGGGATTGACTAAAGCAGGTTGTGGCTCTGAATGGGAGAAATGCATAGGAACACATCAGTGTGATGGTGCAGCAAGCAGCACGGCTGATGTTTGAATCAGATAAGCTAGTTAAAAAAAATGGCGTGGAGTAGTACTTTTTTAAAATTTGCATCAATGTGGGACAAAAGAAGTTCTCTTGCAGCTTTTGTGATTTCTTTGTTGTATCTATGGATACATTTTCTCCTAGTTAATAATTGCACTAATGTTAAAGGTAGGTTTGTCTTGTTGGATCATGCTACTACAATAAAAGATGAATTTATTTGTAGACATTTTTTGCCTTGTTTGTCGTGTAGGACTCTGAAATATGCCAGAGATTATGGAGACTAAAACTAAAAGCTGGTGTATTTATGTTCTCCTAGTGAAAAGGCTCTGCTGGTGAACAAATTCGAGCTGAGCATCCGCACCGAGGCCACTCAGGGCTTACTGCTCTGGAGCGGGAAGGGTGTGGAGCGTTCCGACTACATCGCGCTGGCCATCGTGGATGGGCACGTCCAGATGACGTACGACCTGGGATCTAAGCCCGTGGTGCTGCACTCTTCTGTGCGTGTCGACACCAACCGCTGGATACGCATCAAAGCCAGCAGGTAAGAAGAAAGGAGATGATGAGGATCAACAGCAAAAGCTTTATTTTATTTTTTTTCTTCCAGTTAAAGAAGGATTAGACATAATCCATATTGTCTTTGCGTTGCTGCACACCAGGTGATATCTCCCATGAATCCTCGGCTTAGCTCTGGTTTGATGGTTGTGATTAGTTTCAGATTAAGGTTATTTTCATGGCCGGTCCACATAGTTCAGAGCATTATGCAACAAATAGCGCTGGTAGGGATGATGCAGCTTAGACAAGGTAATAAAGAATAAAAAAGAGGAACATGATGTTACAGCCCAATATAGTGGTGCATTCTGAAAACTGTAGACAGGAAATCATTATGAAAAATATAATCTACACATAGCCACTTATTTATTCCTTTACGTCATTGCAGCTGCAAACTTTAATGTGTTTTTTTCAGATTTTATGTGATTGACCAAGTATTTCATGTAAATACACTTTAAATGATATAGTATATAGTTTTCAGAACCTTAAATTAACATTTAAATCAGTTTATTTATATGGTGACAATTCACATCATGTCATGTGAAGGCACTTTAAAGAGACGCTCAATCAGATAATCCAGTCAGATTAGTTAAACGTTTTCTATCTATGGAAACCTAGCTGAGGACATATTCGCTTGCAGTTTGCCGTTTATTCTACAGCAATCCCTCACACCGCGCATGCATGCAGTGACAGTGGAGAGGAAAAACTCCTTTTTAATAAGAAGATCCCGATAGCAGAACCAGAATCAGTGTGAGTGGCCCTCTGAGGCCGACTGGAGTTCAAGGTGACACAAGCAGACATGCATACATGCACTGATCTATAAATACTTTCTATGCTAAAAAAGGTGAGAGTAAACTTGCTCCACAAGGGGAACTATTAGAGAAAGAAACAGCTGATGAACTATGATTCAGTTTTTATGTTAAAGTGATGAAGGAGGGTATATATATTTAGAGTAAAAACTGAGCCCATAACTATGTTTAGGAGAGAAACAGGACTAAGCCCTGAGAAACAGGCCCAACTCTATATCTATAATCTAAGTTGTTGATGGTGGCAGCCCGGCTGAGATTGCTCTCTAGGATCGAATCACAGCTAAACTGAAATAAAGTGTTTTTTTATCCGCCTATATAAACATGCATAATCCATAGAGTGAATACTTATTACGAGACCCATACAGACGAGTAGAAAAGATGGATAATCTTCCTTGAAGTGAAAAAACGGAAAGCATGCAATACTTTTGTGTCACACTCTGATGTCACGTTAATTGATTTGTTCATTAGGAACAAATTAACAGCCTGAGCATTGAAAAAGACCCATTTAACATCTTCTGCATGTTCTCCACTTTATCGCCAGCGAACATTTGTTTTCAACATCGCCGCAAACAGACCCCTTCTGTGGATAATTAGATGGGTTTTTGTCATTTAAGGCGAGAACAATAAATCCTCAAAAGGCCGCTTGCATCCATTTTAAAAAGGGGATTTTGCCAGATTTCATCCCAGGCTTTTCTTTTTTTTTTACACGGAGGATGCTGAAAGATGGCGTAATGTTGGGAGGCAAAATGATGCAGCTAACATGGTTCCACTGTGTTCTGTGTTTGTGCCTCACTTTTAATGACTCTCTCTCAGCTGGAGACGTTCCTCTAGTGAATTTTAATTTGCATAGACTTTAGATTTGTTAAGTGTGTGCAGCAAGGAGGCCGCGAAATGAGCGAAGCTCTTCCAGCATCTGTTAGCTGCTAGGCTCATTTAGAACGCCGCTTGGCAAATGCACTTATGTGAGTGTTCAGTTTACTGGAAGCAAAGTAATTTGATGGAGATAGATTTGGTGTTTCACATTAAAGGAAATGCTGTTCCTACAGACAGACTGGAAAAGCCTGGGATTGGATTTCAGGATGATTGAAATGCAAAATAATTAATTGAAAGTTAAAAACCTTTTTATTTCCACACTTTATTTACTGTCCAGATGTTTAAAGGCTAGTTCCTTCCTTCCTTCCTTCCTTCCTTCCTTCCTTCCTTCCTTCCTTCCTTCCTTCCTTCCTTCCTTCCTTCCTTCCTTCCTTCCTTCTTTTATCTGATTCCTTACTCCCTCCTTCCTTCATGTCCAGCCTTCCTCCATTTCCTTTTTTCCATCATACCTCCTTTCTTTCCTCTTTCTCTTCTTCAGTCCTTGGTCATTTCCTTCCTTCCTTCCTTCCTTCCTCCCTTCCTTCTTTATTTCGTTTTTATGACTGATCTCCTTTCTTTTATCATTCCCTTCTTCAGTCCTTGGTAATTTCCTTCCTTCCTTCCTTCCTTCTTTTATCTGATTCCTTACTCCCTCCTTCCTTCATGTCCAACCTTCCTCCATTTCCTTTTTTCCATCATACCTCCTTTCTTTCCTCTTTCTCTTCTTCAGTCCTTGTTCATTTCCTTCCTTCCTTCCTTCCTTCCTTCCTTCCTTCCTTCTTTATTTCGTTTTTATGACTGATCTCCTTTCTTTTATCATTCCCTTCTTCAGTCCTTGGTAATTTCCTTCCTTCCTTCCTTCCTTCCTTCCTTCCTTCCTTCCTTCCTTCCTTCCTTCCTTCCTTCCTTCCTTCCTTCCTTCCTTCCTTCCTTCTAATTTCTGACTGCTTCCTCCCTCTTTCCTCGATTTCCTTTCTTCCATCATACCTCCTTTCTCTCATCATTCCCTTCTTCAGTCCTTTGTCATTTCTTTCCTTTCTTCATTCCTTGTCTCCTTCCTCTCTTGGGGTTTGTGTTTCTCCCCTCACCTCCTTCCTTTAATTTGTTTAAATGTTTTTGCCATTTGCTAATATTTACATCCAGGAAAAATAAGAATGAATCTTCTAAACTACTGCTTAGGTTTATTTAATAGGTGATGCTTTCTTCAGACTAACTCTGCATCTTTTTGCTGCTCCTCAGGGCGCTTCGGGACGGCTCTCTGCAGGTTGGAAACGAGGCGGCGGTAACAGGGTCATCTCCCTTACGAGCAACGCAGCTGGACACAGATGGAGCCTTATGGTTAGGTAGGTTTACACGAGCGCATTTCAACATCCAACTAGAAAATACCTGACTGTGTTAACCCTGCTTAATAAATAACAGTAATTAAGTCATTGGGGGGAAAAGAGAGAAAAAGTTGTTTGTAAAAAAAGACCCGTCTGGTTCTAAAGTGAGAAATGAGAAGTTTTCTAAATAATTCCAACTTCTCTGCTGTTCAGAATTTAAAAATACTAAACCCAGCTTATCTATGGAAGGCTATAGAGGAAAAAATAAAATAAATAATGTAGCATAAATGGGTTTATATATATAATAAAATAAACAAATGTATTGCCAAATAATGAAATGTAAACTGAAATAGATAAAGGTAACACTAAAGGTGCCATTAAATAATCATATATACCATTTATTTAATAAATGATTTTTAAACAATGTAGCATGAAATAAGTAAATGTGGCATTAAATAATTTAAATCTTTTTTTAAGGTATGACTTTAAATTACTAAATATCAGCCAATCAGATGTCAGGATTCATATGGAGGCGGAACTACTCCTGCTCACCAAGTTTAATAGTCGCCATTAACAAATACATTTTTGTGAGTAATACATAATAATGCATTAGTAAATTCATTTAATTTTACAAAAATTACATTTGATTTCTTCATGTTATGATTTTAAAGGTATATTTGATTTTATTTTTTAATCACAAATTCTGTTTATTCATTTTAAAATTCACAATTTCATGTTATATTTAATTGTTTAATGATATATAATTAGATGATACATTTAATCACTCAATTGTACATTTATTTCTTTATTTTTTGTTCTATTTAATTTAGTTTATATCATGACACATTTATTTATTTAATTTTGTCCCTTTTAATCCTCCATAATGATCCGCATTGGAGTCAAGTTTGGTCTGAACTTGGATCTGCTTGCAGCCTGGCTGGATGGTTGGCTAAATAAAGCCGAACTTTAACTAGAATGCAAATTGGGCATCATAAAAAGGGAGGCATCTTTGAGTGGAGACGTGTCGGAGCAACATTTTAAGTGACTTTCCTCATGCTGAGGTGCACTCAGGTAGAGGCCTGCATCCAGGCACAGGAGGCAACACAGTGGAACAGGTGCTGATTGAGTCCTGCAGCACGAATATATAATCCGCACACAGCTCTTATATTTCCAGCCCTTCTTCGTTTTAAATCCCCTTTTCACTGTTCATCATTAATTCATCTATAACTTGCATGAAATTAGCCCTGTCGACTTCTGATTCGGGGGCTCCCAATCCGATTAATGGGGGCAGGGACAGGGGATGTAAAGAGCTTGAAAGGGATATGAACTCACAATCGAACAAAACAAGAAAGGAAAAGGATAGACTGTAAGAAGGTGAGATTAGAATAAGAAAAGCGAGGTGCAATGGCAGCCAGGTACAACTTTAAAAGCCAGGCTTAGCCTCTGAAGTCATGCTGAATATAGATGTTTCATGCTGATTTAGCCGCAAAGGCACTAATGACAACTTTGAATTTGCTGGCTTAGAAAAGTAGCTCACGCAGCAATTAGGATATGAAGTCTCCAAACTCTGTAGGGCTTGGTTTTTCTTTCTTTTTGTTTAAAGATTAAAATTACATAGAATAAAAAAAGAGGATTATAGGGGGAAGATACTTTAAAGAGTTGTTTTTTCTCATAGAAAGTCCTGAAGAAGATGTGAAGCCAGAGACATAGATCATCATAGATGTGCCGACAGAGCGGCCATCTTAGGTCAGACCAAGCTGCAGTCAAAACAATTCATGTCAATTGAGGCTAACCCTATCTTATGACTTTAGACGCTCCGAATCCGGTGAACTCTCGACCGATTTCCCAATAAGTTGGATGACTGAAAAAGAGAATGTTTCACGGGTTACATGGGGCCAACGCATTTATCTGATTGTCTGTTTTCCTACATAATATTGATTTTGTATCGACAGTTAGCAAACTTCCAGAGCTTCATCTCAGAATAACCGACTTTTATTCCGCCTATGGATTAACAAATAAAATGAGAAACACATTAACTGATTAAAGAACAAATGTTCATATTTGCATAAATAATAAAGAAACATAGTTTGAAAAAGAGTTTTGAAGAGGTTTAGTGAAACTTATAAAGACAACAGCTATTTAGTTAGACACAACATAAATTTACCATTCACTACGATTTGACAAAAAAGTCTTGATAATGATAAGAAATAAATGAAAATTAACATAAAAAAAACAAAATAATTACTTTACTCTCTTTTGTAAATCACATTACAGCTAAGTTTCTTTTATAGATCATAATACTCATTATCAAGGAGCAATCCTTAATACTGAATAATAATAATATACTATATAAATATATAATATTTATATAATATAATGTAAGAATATATTAATATAAAATGTTATGTTCATAATATTGATATTTAATTGCAAAATATGTTTCTGCAAGTTTATATTTCATGCAGTTTGGTTTAAATCATCTTTAATCTGAATAAATATATGTAATCTAACTGAAAGGTCATTTTAAAAGGTGTTTTGTTGTTTTAAGGATGTAAGAGATCATTGTAATATTATCTTTGACTCATCTTTATAATGCGATTAAAATGAGGCACCTTCTATTCTGTCTGACAGCAGCGGTCTGAACTATGGTCTGACCCATGATGGCCGCCCTCTAGGCAGCTCGGCTTTGCTGCCTATGACATAGAGTTTTTAGCATTGTTATTAAGAGAACAAGCAAGTTTCTAGCATCAACAACACGCACCAAAACAGCATCTAAAGGCTATCAAGAGAATATCTGGGAATCCACTAAATTATTTGGAATACATCTAGCTTATTTCATAATCTCTGCTCCAAGCAGCTAACTGGGGATTAAGAGAATTTTGTTTCTTATCAATTCACACTCATAATAAAGCAAAAATAAAGCATAAAACTGTATTTTTCATGCAGATTTACTTAAGGGTTACATAATTTGTTCCTTTTCAATTGGCTGTCAGCAGTTTAAAAATAATGAGCAGGTTAGTTGCAGTTATTATCTTCATGTGCTGTCAACACCCTTCATTTTTCTGAGCCAGACTTAAAAATGTTTCTCCTTTGTTGCAGCTTAGTTTCTTTCGCCAGTATTCAGACCCTCTTTTTTTCAGAGATTTGAAAAATAAGCTGTCAACCTGTCATGTCCATCAGCCGGCGTCTTCGTGTGAAACATCAAAGGCTGACTAAAAAAAACAGGCGGTTGCTCCGGCTGTTATGTAGCCAAACATTTCAGGGGATTTTCAGGTTTAATTTGTTCACAAATGCGATCCCGCGTCCCGCTGCCTGATGTTGAAAGGAAAGCTGCGTCGGTTTTACACCAGATCAGTTTACTAATGATTCAGTGATGAAATGGGGATGAAGCTCTGAAAGAGGGAAGAAATAACCTCTGGGCTTAGAATTTATTTTATATTCAATCTTTTTGTTAAATTAACCAGTGACTGTGAAATTAGTCTATACAGTGGGGGAAATAAGTATTTGACCCCTTGCTGATTTTGCAGGTTTGCCCACTTACAAAGAATGCAACAATCTACAATTTTAATCATATGTACATTCTAACAGTGAGAGACAATCCCAAAGTAAATTCTAGAAATTCACATCATATGAATTTATTAAAATTGATAACTCTCTGATGAGGAAAAACAAGTATTTGACCCCCTGGACAATCAGCATGTTATTATTTTGTAGAAAAGCCATTATTGGCCAGCACATGTCAAACGGTTTTTATAGTTGGTGACAAGGTTTGTGCACATTTCGGCAGGGATGTTGGCCCACTCCTCCCTGCAGACAGCCTCCAAATCATTCAGGTTCCGAGGTTGTCGCCTGGCAACTCGAATTTTAAGCTCCCTCCAAAGATTTTCAATTGGATTCAGGTCTGGAGACTGGCTAGGCCACTCCAGAACCTTGATGTGCTTCTTCTTCAGCCACTCTTTTGTTGCATTGGCGGTGTGCTTAGGGTTGTTGTCGTGCTGAAACACCCATCCTCGACCCATCTTCAGCTCTCTCACTGAGGGAAGGAGATGTTGGTCCATAATTCCACCATACATGGCCCCGTCCATCCTCCCCTCAATACGATGGAGTTGTCCCATCCCCTTGGCTGAAAAGCTCCCCCAAAGCATGATGTTGCCACCACCATGCTTGACGCTGGGGATGGTGTTCTTTGGGTTGTACTCGGTGTTCTTTGCCCTCCAAACAGTTGAGTTGAGGCCAAAAAGTTCTATTTTGGTCTCATCTGACCACATCACCTTCTTCCAGGCCTCTTCTGAGTCGTCCAGGTGATGAATGGCGAACTTCATGCAGGCCTGTACATGTTTCTTCCTGAGCAGGGGGTCCTTGCGTGTGCTGCGGGATTTCAATCCACGATGGCGTAGTGTGTTACCAACCGTTTCTTTTGTAACTGTGGTCCCAGCTGCCTTAAGTTGATTCATCAGTTCCCCCTTGTGGTTTTGGGATGATTCCTCACCGTTCGCATGATCAGGGACACCCCACGAGGCGAGATCTTGTGTGGAGGCCCAGACCGAGGGAGGTTGTCGGTGGTGTTGTGCATTTTAGATTTCCAGATAACTGCACCAACAGTTGATCTTTACTCTCCTAGTTGCTTTCAGATTCTCTTAGCCCATCCCAGCCTTGTGCAGATCAACAATCTTGTCCCTGATGTCCGTAGAAAGCTCTTTGGTCTTGCCCATGGTGGTGATGTTGGATGCTGGTTGTTTGGGTGTTGACAGGTGTCTTTTATACAGGTAACAAGGTGAGGCAGGTGTATTTGAGGTAGATAATCGGTTGGCATTGGGGCTGTGTCTTAAAGAAAGACTAACTGGCTTATAGGATAGGGTGACCAAACGTCCGTATTTCCCGGGACATATCCGTATTTCACGTCCTGTCCCGGGCGTCCCGGGTTTTTTTTAGAAAGTGAGGAAATGTCCTGATTTCACTGCGCACGAAGCTCCGTGTGACGTAATCCCTGAGCCGCGTCAGTGCGGGCAGCCCTGTTCTTAATCAGAGGCTCTGTTCAAAAACCTGGGCTGCATCCTCCAAGGACGCGGTCTACCTAGACTGGATCCTTCGAAGTCCTTGAAAATAAGGAGGCTGGAAGAGTTTAGGCTGTAAATTCAAACAGGTCCTCCCTTCAGCGGGTTTTACCGCCGTATGCTCTGTTGCTTAGCAACCGTGAAAGTTGACACACAAAGCAGGAAAAGAATGAATACCGAGGTTTTCAAAACTGTTTGTTTATTTATTTTTTTTTTTTTAAAGTTAAAGTGAACAAAGACTACACTCACAAGAATCCAGAGTGGAGTAAAGGTTCCAACCACCGGGAGCAGGAACAAATAAAATCAAATGTAATGATAGAAACCTTAGTCAGTTAAATAACCTGCTGCTGTCTTTCTGCACATCTCTGATGTTGCTGCTATTTTCAAATATCCATTATTGTAAAAATGTCCATAGCTGCATATTGGTTATTTATTCTCCAGTTTTATATTGTTAAAACACTTTACAGAATTTTATTGTTTATATTTTAACTCTTCCCTATTATGTTATTCTTATACATTTTTCTAAGGTCCACATTTGTGTGACCATTTTCAATAATCTTTCTGCTGCTTAAATTTGCCCATTGTGGGACAATAAAGGGATTTTCTATTCTATTCTATAAAAGGGTTAAAAATATACAAGTAAATCTAAACAATGTATGTACAAAATGTATCTGCAAAATCTCTAATATTCAACAACAAAAAATACTTAGTTAAGCATATTGTGCAAAACAACAATAAAAAAATTAAAATCCTATCAGATTTATAGTCCCCACTCTGCAGATCTATTAGAATCTGTCCTTAAATTCAGGCCAAACCCATTTAATCAGTAACAGATAAAAACCTTTAGATAAACCAAACATTACCTCCACATATCTGACTCAATAACCATTAAAACAACTTGTAACAAGTAACATTTCCTCTGATCACGGAGCAAATCCCGATGATGAGACATTTGTTCTTTCAATCAAACCCCCCCCCCCCCCCCCCCCCCCCCCCCCCCCCCCGCTCAAAGGTGTCCTGGTTTTCCCAAATGAAAATATGGTCACCCTATTATAGGAGCCAGAATACTTGCTGTTTGGTAGGGGGTCATATACTTGTTTTTCCTCATGAGATGGTTATCAATTTTTTATAAATTCATATGATGTGAATTTCTGGAATTTTCTTTGGGATTCTGTCTCCCACTGTTAGAATGTACATATGATTAAATTGTAGATTGTTGCATTCTTTGTAAGTGGGCAAACCTGCAACATCAGCAAGGGGTCAAATACTTATTTCCCCCACTGTATATTTCCATGTGAATTTTCTCCAGTATACCCTGTGTCAAAATTTTACATATAGGCCTTAAGCGTTCCTGTATAATATTTAACCACTAGGGGTGCTAGATCTTTATACAGAAAACAGATTTCTAATTGGATAACTGACATAGCAACAGAAAGCACAGATATTTTAGGAACATCGATAAACTTCTGTAAATCCAAGTTGATTTGTGGAAGAAAATTCTTATCAGAAATGATTTAGCTCAGTTATCCCTGCTTTCAGCATAGTTGCCACATTTTTAAATGGAGCAATTGGGGCCATAAAGTAAAAAAAAAAAAAAAAAAAAAACTTTTACTGGAAAAAAAAAGGAAAACATTTGGTTTTTATTTTCAGGATTACTTTTTTTTTTTTAAACAGAAAAAATTTTTAACCAATGTTTTTGGCCGCAATTAAACTCCATAGTCAATCCAGAAGGTTGATGTGTTTCTATACAAGCGTCATTCATGTCCCGTTAGCGCTAACAAAGACAACAGAGAAGCTTTTGGTCTAGAATCTGTGATTTTAAGGTATTCCAGCCTCAACCCCACCTGAAAATATGTTTTTATTCCAAAGGGGGCAAAATTATCAAGCTTTAATTAACTTAGAAGCTTCCCAATGTCTACAAGGGAATCTACAATTTTTCTTTGATAATATAGGTAAAAGTTTATTTTAAAAAGTGCATATTGTTCTCCAATTAAAAAATTATTATTAGTAAAAAAAAAATGTTTTTGAATTTGAAATCCAGTTAATTTTCACTTAAATGGGGGAACTCATTTTGTTATTTTAAGCATTAGTCTTGGTAGGACCCATGAGAAGCATATCTTTGTTTTAGGCAAACCCGCCGCATTAAATGAGTAAATGGCCAATATTGTTTTTTTTTAAAGTTCAGTCATCTGATCTAATGATCGACAGTGAATCAGTCAATATTACAACAGGCTTTGTGGTTTTGGCAGAGAGGATGTTCCATGGGCGTGACCTGCATACTGAACTCTGGTGCTAAACTCACAAAAGTGATAAACCCAACAAAAATGTCCTTCCTTTTTGAGTTATATTGTAAAATGGGGACTTTATGTATAATTTTGATGCTTAGAGAGGTTAAACTTCATGAAAATCAAACTTATAATTTGAAAATGTACCAAAATCAGGATTAAAAGCCCCACATTGATATGATCTATAAAGACCATGAAGGATTTTGTAATGTGTTATTAAAGGGATGTAGGTTTGGGTTAACCTCCGTCTGTCTCTCCTAAGGTGGTCTGGAGGAGCTGGCCGTAGCCCGCCGCCTGCCCAAGGCCTACAGCACCGGCTTCGTCGGCTGCATCAAGGACGTGGTGGTGGACGGCGTGGAGGTCCACCTGGTGGAGGACGCCTTAAACAGCCCGAAAATATTACACTGTTCCGCTGCCAAATAACCAGGAAGACAGAAAGCACTGCGAGACCGGAGAATAAAAACATAAAACAAAACAAGAAACCCTCCCCCCCAACCCCCCCCGTAACGCCCATGTCTCCTGCTGTAATTATTTTCTATTTTTGTATACTTTTCATCGCTTTTTATATGGGGAAATAATGAATACGTTGTTTTTAATTTTTGTTTGAATCATTTTTTTTTTTGCCATTTTCTTCTGCTCCACTCCTCCATCACACTTTGTATTGTCCTTTTTTTTTGTTCTTCTTAAAAAAAGCTATTTACTTTGTATTGATTTTGTTGTTACCTTAAGAAAAACATCACCTTTTTTTTTATCACTCATTACTTGAATGCCGTGGACCTTGCTTCTAATCTCTGATTGTTGCCTCGTCTTGGTGCCATATCAACCAACCACATTCCCCCCAGACATGGCCCATACATCCTGATCATACAGACATACATTCCCGTTTCTCAGCCGGAGCGCCGTACTGGCGTCCAGCTGGCATAGAGTCTATCCGGATCCCTCTGTATTATTCAATCCACTCTATTTTCCTAATGAAATATCAGCCAAGCTGCTACAGTGACTAAGTGCACCGTCAAGCCACTCGATCAACTCCCATGTAACAGCTTCAAGAAAAGAAAGGAAAGAAAATAGACGCTTTCCAGTCGACCCATCAGAGCCTTTAGTTTTGAAATATGACTAACACCGCAGCCCCGACGTGATGGAGAGAGCTCTGCGCCACACAATGACTCTCACATTATTAATCATGAATCATAGATACTCATAAATGTTATAAAAATAGACTATATATAAATAATACCTAAGACTGTGAATATGTAAGATGGGTTCTCTTCCGAGACTTGTGCTTTTCATGTACTGTTGTGCGTTCCGTTCTACAATCAGCAGATGAACTAATGCTCACCACTATAAATGCATGCACTTCTGCAGTGTTGGTTAGAATCTGGGTTTTTCCCTTTTTTTTTTTTTGGTTTGTTTATTTACATTCTGTTTAAAAAGAAAGGAAAATAATCTAATTTGAGAAATGAGTCTTTTTTTTTTTTTTTTTTTGTTTCTCTTATTATTTGCTGATGAGTTTAGCAGAACGTAAAGGATTGGGAATTATGCTTTAAGGAGGCGTTTTTGCCATTTTGATCTTTGGTGTTCTGGGTTTTTTTTTTTGTGGGTGTTCTGGAAGTTAGTTTTGCAGGAACTCGATGAGGTTGTTACCGCGTCTGACCTAAAGGAGGCGTTGAAAGCAAAGGCTGAAGAAAAAAGGACAGACAGACAGAGAGAGAAAGGAGGGAAGCAAGAGGAGATCTCCTGGGAATGTCCTGTATATCCTGAAAACTATAATCAGCTCTCATGACTAAAGACACAAAATAAACCCTTCCCCTAAGTCTGCTTGGGATTTAATTCCTTTCTTTTTTTTCTTTTCTTTTTTTTTTAATCCAAGAACATTCCTGGAGGCAGACATTAAGCTTCGTCTGTTCAATGAGAATAAGATGGATGATGGTGAAGGAGATGCTGGTACGTTCTGAAGCCATAACAGCCGCTAAAACTGAGGGGGGGAAAAAATTCCTCAGTCCTGCAGTAATTTTCAAGTTAACAGCAAAGCATGGAGCGTTGCAACGTGGAGCCGGACGCAATAAACTGAGCTGACTGACTTAAAGACACTTGTTTTGATATGAGAACCTTGGCAATATCCTACTAAAAAAACCATGCCTGTTTGTGACTATCACATGGTCTTGTACCTCTTTTCTTTCCCCCCTTCCTGCTTATGTTCTCCTTTTAATCTTAAGGCGACCTGTTTTTGTACAGCCCTGCAGTTTTAAAGTGTAAATTTAGCTAGTGTGATCTGTGCAGGTTTCTGTTTTTAAGTAATATACACTGGAGCCATGTCTGACTCGTCTTTTCACCCATAAAAAGATATACTTCTGTGTGTGGGAGACGTATCGGGAGACGTATCGCCCTAAAGCTATTACTGTGTTCTACATATCCCAGTTCTGGGAATCCCTTCCCTGGTGTCCCAAGTTTCAGTTTTATTTCAGCAATATGCTCTTTGAATTTAACCCAAATTGGCTGGAATTGGAAAACAAAAACAAACCAAAAATCAGAAAGAGACCCCTGCAGCGGGAGTCTCCCTATATGGCTCTGGTGGAAACTGAATTGCCTTAAAAACCTGCCACCTGGGTTGTGAGCAGGTCATAAAGACATCACCCATCTTCCGTTTTTTCCTTATTATAGCCAGTATTAGCCTCGTCCCCATGACGTAAATGAGTACTACAGAATGATAACAATATTAGTAATAATAATCCCCAAACAAAGAAAAAAAAAATAATAAAAAATTTCCCAGAGGGTTTCTGCAATGGTTTTCTTAATCTCTGTACCGTTTTCTGTTCCTTATTTATGTCTCAATGTTGATTATCCTCCATGTCTGACCTCTGTAAACTGCTGTCTGACTGTGCAGACCTCGTCAACGGGCAGCGCACCAAGTAAGAGTGGCATGACCTGAACATTACTAACTTTATGACCTTTGTCTTGTGTTCCTACCACCATGAAATAAAAACGTCAACCAGATCCAAATCTTTCCTTCTGCTTGCTTTTATTTTATATTTTTCAAGCATGTTTTATAAAAAAAGTATGTAGAAGTAATTAGTGAATAAAAAAGAGCCATAAAGAAGCAGCTGAGAGACCCATGGCGGCTCTGGAGGTGTTTTAGAGATCCTTAGGTCTCTATCCTTAGGCTAGGAGTATCCTTTCACACAAATCAGGCCTCTGTAGAATATAGAAATAAAATGTGTGAAATAAATTATGTAAATCAGCTTTGTCAGACGCATACATGTATAGTTGATAAAGAAGGAGCCCTGGTCAGATTGGACCCTAACGTTTTAATTTATGTGCAGGAAGCCTAATGTTAGAAAGGTGAGGCTACTGTACACTCCACCATGAACTCTCTGCAGGATCAGATCTTCAACCCACTGGGCTGCAGGTTATGGTTCCTTTCTGCAGCAGGATCAGAGAAAAACATATTTTACCATATTTAAAGTTTCAAGACTACAAAGCACCTGCCTGGAGCTGTTAAGCAGTTGCTCTTAATATATTAAACTTATTTTATTAATGTCTTTAAAGTTAATGTTCACTTAAATCCGAGAGCCAATTAAAAAAAAAGCTTCTATTGTTATAGCTTAACATTAAAAAGGTCATAAATGTAATTTTATTTGAATAAAACTTATCTTAAAAATACAAATCATGCTCTTAGAGAATTTAAACCTATCTTCTAGCCTAATAAAAATTGATTGAACAAAAAGAATGTGTTTCAATTTCCAAACCACAAAGAGAACCTGTTACAGGTGCGTTTATTGAAATATTTGTAAAAAAAAAAAAAAAAAAAAAAAAAAAAAAGCAACAAGAAAAGAAAGCAAATAAACAACAACCCTGCTAAGTTGTACATGATTTATAATTGGAATAGAATAGAATGCAAAATCCTTTTAGAAAGTATAAAAATAACAGAATAAGTAACAGGAAGTAAACATATAAGACACTGTACTCTACAGTCTTTTTACAATATAAATACTCTGTATTTAATAATCAGTAAACAGCTTTGGACTTTTCTACAGTGGTGGATATGAGATGAATAGCAGCAACATCAGAGATGTGCAAAATGACAGCAGGATGTTATTAAACTGACTAAGACAGAAACTGCAAAAATCAGCATGAACGTAACAACTTATTGAGGTTGTTGAAAGCAGTGGTGGTTATAAAGTCTTAGAGCTGCTGGGAGGAAGGATCTGTGATACGCTCCCTGGTGCATTTAGGGTGCAGCAGTCTGTTAATAGTTATTAGCCCTCTATTGCATTAAATGTAACTTAGACAAATTAAAACAAGCTTTTCATGATGTATTACTTAACAGAAACAATAAAAAAAAATAATCTTTCAAAATAGTTAATAGGGGTTGTTGGGAAATTGTTACCATACAGCAACAATATGCAGTACCATAAATTTCTCTCTTTTTTTTTTTTTTACAAGATTTAAATGATCCAGTTTATGCTTATTGAAATGTAATGTAAAGCACTTTGGTCAAGTCCCCTGCATTTGAAGGAGTGCCATATAAATACAGGCCATTTACTGAAATGGAAAGCTTTATAAAACATTTAGTTGTTTTTGTGTTTGTGTTACTCAGGCAGTGAAACTAACTTAGTCTCACATGCACACATTCACACAGCCATGCACACAATCCTGAGGATGAACTCTGTAGTATTGCTACATCCTTCCTCTGGTTCTCTGTCTGACTGATTCTGAGCAGCTTCTACTCTCATCCAGGTTTACATCAACCTTGTTTCCTTCATCACTGTCTACCACCTCATCCCCACTCTCCTCTAGCGGAGCAGCTATTTCAGCCCCGTTCTCTTTCCCTCCCCATAGAAGTAGATGAGATGCATCTTTTATGGGAAGGGAATGGGACAATATTTAACAGATGACCTACTGTACAAAACACCTTAAACAACATTTTAGAAACATAAAATCTTTTTTATCTTTGAGTCTAGTCTCTCTGTGTATTTTATGGTTAGCATTCAATGGGTCTCCATTGGTTTGAACGAACCAGGATGTTACCATATTTGTATGCAGTTGCCACCAAATGTATTTTAGCATGTGCTGGTGAAGATTATCAGTCATCCAGGTCATAGTCATTGCAAAAAAGTAAAAAAAAAAAACACTCTACAGGACTTACTTTCCATGACTGAAGACTTTTCCCTTCCCATGCAGGAAGCCTTTTCAATTCAAAATTAACGTTGAGTTTGAAGCTTTACATAGTAGCCCAAAAACTTGTTTTGGCTTAGAAAACATGCAAATTGAACCAGAAGAACGGGTCCATCCCTTAGGAATGGGGAGGGTTTGGGTTCTTTGTTAGCCTGCAATACCAGATACCTGTCTATGTCTCTGAAAGGGGGTCTTTAGGGGCGTGGTTGGTCTGGCTGACCCTTTTAGCATGGGTATTGTAGCATATTGCAGAACCCGTAACCTTACAACTTAGTTAAATGATTTTTAAAAAATATATAGTTTAGTAATCAAGATAGAATTTAAATTTTTTTTTTCATTAAATTTATCCAAATTTCTAAATAAATCCAATCTTCTGGGTCTCAGACTGATGATTTTCAGATGGCAATCTCCATAAGAAAAATGGACTGACAAACAGGATTTGATGGGCATTTGACCCCATATTCAATTTACATCAAGGTAAAAACCATCTTTTTTTCAATAAATTGTGAATAAATAGGTTTTATATTACAGCTTTTTTTCTTTTTTTTTTAAAGAAAGTTTGGATAAAATAATTATTGCTTTATGGCAACACTGTTAAATAAGACCCACTGCGGAGGTCCCAGAGAGCCACATGTGGCCCCAGACCTGCAGGTGGCAGATCTCTGGCCAAGTCAAAGTCCAATTGAGTGTATTTACAGATACTCTCCATCCAGTTTAAATGAAGCATAAAATGCAAAGAACAGACAAACAATTTAACCACTGGATTTGCAAAGCTGAAAACAACATACATTAGAAGACCTTTAAGCTCAAATTGTTGCAAAACTTTCATTCAGAACTGTTATGACTACAATTTGCATTTATATTTCTATAGATATATCTATGGTACCGATTTGTGTCTCAGGTTATTGATACTAAAACAGTATTTAGGTGTATGAATACTTGTGCAAACGTATCAAGCCTAAACAGTGTATTTTTTTTATTATTTATTTTTTTTTTATTTATTTTTTTGATTATTTTTATTTATTTTATTTATTCTATTTTTTTTAATTAATTTATTTTTTTATTATTTTTTTTATATTTTTTTATTAAAAAATAAAAAATAAAAAAATAAATAAATAATAATAATAAAAAAAAAAACACTAAACAGTGTTTTAACCTCAAGAAGCTCCAGTTCAGTATATTCTAGGATTTTTTTTTATCTAGAGATAATTAAGAAATAATTTAAACTTAAAAACGGAAAATTCACGACTTTTCATTTGGTCTTTTTGCGCAAAATATTTGCATATTAAAAATGTATATTTCTCTTGGATTGAAATGCCTGAAATAAATACTATAAATCTAACTTCATAATTTCTAAGCAGAAAAGTCTTATTCTTTAAAACATCCATATCCTCTTCGATGCTCTTATTTAACTAACCTAAAAAATCGTCCCCAAAAATAGCCTTAGTATCTTTTTTCTTTTTTTCAGCAAGCTTTTGGAGTTAATGAGAGCTATTTCTATTATGCTAATGACAAACAAGGACACTGCTCTGTGTGTTGTCTTAATTAAATCTTGAAGAAATGTTTTACTTAAAACAGTTCTACCCACTGACAGATTGTTTCAAGGAAAACTGTGTCTTCCATGTTGATATACGTCTAAGCAT